CAGCAACGGCCCATTTAAAAAATGAGTAAAATATCAAAAACTTCGCATTTTTCTCGCTTCTATAACTTGTTTTCAAAGTTAAAACATAGGCAGTATATAATAAAAATATTGTAGATTTCATTTCACTTGTTATTTTAGATTAGTTTTAAGTATTAATTGACGTATTTTCGGATTGTTTTCATGTGTACATCTCGATATTGTGATTGAAGTTGCCTACGTTAGGATATATTGTACTATATATAATACCTTTTCATCCTATTATTAAATATATTTAATTCATATATAAGTCCTTATTTTCCTTTAGACTATGAGAATATGAAAAATGTTTTTCATGTCTACTGTTCCATATCAAGATATTTTTAGCGACCTACATTAATAGTTTTGTATTGAATTATTTTGTCGACACTTGCTGAAGGTTTTCTGTTGAAATATTGAAAATATATTACACACCAGCGCAATTGTGTTTGTATCCTGGATGGCTGAGCAACTGTACACTTTCTTCCAACAGAGAATTACAGACAATTTAGCTCACGAACTGCAGTTTAATTTATATCCACAATCGGCAGGTAAACAGTCGCACTCCGAGAGGCATGAAAATGATATTCAAGTACGTACATTGCCGTTTTTAACTGCATACAGCAAATCCGCCAACCTTTCTTTGACTTTTCCTCGTTCAATTCGGTTTTAGTCGTAATTTATCTTTAAAAATACAGGCAATTCTCCCGTGGAACCAGTAGTGCTTGCGAAGGTTTTGAAAAATAGCTCGTTTTGCATGATTGCATCAGCTTGATCACGTGGTATAATGTACTTATTTTAACCCCCAAAATGGTGTTACATTGCGCGTAACCCCCTTACGTGGTGTTATTTTAAGTCCAACTATGGAGTTATTAAGCTGGAATTTTGTAACTCCCCTATTACACCCCTAGAATCCCTTAAAAGTGGTGTTAAAATAACACCCTGAAAATAACAGTGTACTAATAAGTTTAATTGCTATTTTCATACTATGGCTATAGTATGGAAAAAGTTATACAATAACCATATTAGTTGCAATTTTCATGGCATGCATTTTAAGAAAAATTTCCGGTGATCCTGTATGCTTATGTTATCAATTGAATAATCACCTTTTTTTTATTTTTAAAAATTAACTGCCATTTTACTGTTTTAAAGAAGTGAATTTTTTCTTGCTAAGTAAATTTATATTAGCGGATATTTCATTCTTTTCTCAGCAATATGTACCACGTGGTACGATTGAGAGCTCTTAAACACGAGAAAATTGTCGCTTTTCCGCGGACCGAAGGCAGAAACATACGATTATAGAGACCTAACCGGGAACGTCGCCAGAAATTCAACTTCGGTCCACCGGCATAAAGGGACGGACTGAGCAGTTCGTAATTCGGGCGTGAACCGATGGCTGGCCGTCTTTATGGACCCGAAATATTTTCAGAACTGAGCTCTTCGCTTTTGTCAGAAGAAGAATTCCAAAACTAGTAATTGAATACGTGTTAATTCAGAATTTATATCATTTGAGGACGTTCATGATTTTCTTAATGTTCTTAATGTTAACTGTAATTTCACTTTAATGTTATGTTAAGCAAGGAGCAACGGAAGTACTGGAACAGTAACCGCTGAACCAGTACGACTAAAGGGAACTGCGGCAATGAGAGCAAGAAATAAATTTTCAAAATGAGTCGAAGAACTTTGCTTGGTCCCATAAGATGTTAAATAATATTGGGTTAATATAGTTTGACATTGGCGTTCCCTGGGGCAGCTGTGCTTTGGTCCGTAGGACCTCTCGCTTTTTGACGCACTTTTAGAAAACATAAATCATACACTATAAAGACTCTATTTCTAAAAACTGTAAATTTATGATTGTATATTTCAATAAATACTAAGACAAGTCGAACCTGGTATCCGTCTTTACGACAAAATCTGAACCGGACAAATTCAAGCACGGTTCACACAACTTGTTCGGTTCCGGATGTATACATATAAATGAGATCATTTAAAATGATAAGTATAAACACTCAGTGTAAGAATCATTTTCGACCTTTTAATGATGCCGATTTCAAAGCAAAACCATATAATGGTCCTTTCGCCAACTTTTACACTCAAAAACTCTTATACTGCTCATTATATTCCATAATGAGAGTCATTGCTGGCCAGGTGCATGAAGGCAGGATCCATAAGCTAAGGTATTGCGCGCGGAGCCCGTCGTCAATATTCTAAACTTCAAATATAATGAATTTGTTCTCTATACTCGAAACTACGGCGTTCTAAACCATACAAAATCCTTCTAAACAAGATTGACTCATTGTAAACGTCATTAAACGCCGAAACTTCAAATATGCTTTCCGGCTAAACTTATTTATATTTCCTGTATACTCCTATATTTCTTAATCACAATTAATAAGTTCATTTATTGGTTTTAAACTTCAGATATATTGTCTATAAACTCGAATGTTGGATAAAAATCCATCACGTTTTCCTTGACGGCCGTAACACACGAGCATTTTTCCTTGTTGAAAAGCTGGTACGGCTATAATCAACTTTATCAACTTTTCAACTTTATCATTAATATTAATAATTATATAATTTATAGCCATAACCCCCCCCCCCACATTTAGCAATAGCTATTCAAGGTGGGGGGTTATAATAGCTTTTGAACAAGGCTCCTTGTCAAGGAAAACTTGTCAATTTTTTCGCGTTCACACAAACAAAAAACTGGGCAATGAAAACTTGTCATGGAAAACTTGCCCGTCTGTGCGGGGCTTTACATAGATACTAAGCGCCGTACAGACGGGCAAATTTTCCTTGCCAAGTTTTATTTGCTCCTGTATATGCGAAAAAATTGACAAGTTTTCCTTGACAAGGATACTCATTTTATCATGGCTCATATTATCGTAAAATATACTGCATATTGTCATAAAACTTGTCACTTATATATGCATATCATCGTAAAACTTGTCATATTTTTCGCGTACACGCGAGCAAATAAAACTTGGCAAGGGAAACTTGTTCCGGCAGGGCCTTAACTAGAACGATAATTGGGGGGGGGGGGGGTGTTTATTCATATATTCAGCCCGACGGATTTCTTTTGTAAGTGCAATAGCTCACAATGGAAATCCGTCGGGTTGAACTGAATATATGAATAAACATCTCCCCCCCCCAATTATCGTTCTAGTTACGGCCCTGCTTGTTCGCCATACACACCAGCAAGTGGACTGGTCAAGGAAAACTTGTCAAGGAAAACTTGTCAAGGAAAACTTGCCCGTCTGTACGGGGCTTTAGTGTCAGCAATTAATATCGTAGGCGTTGTTACGAAATTGTTCCGAAAACGTAGGTGAATATCAATAAAGTGGTGTCCTAACCCCAAAACCATTCAAATCACCCATAACAACGTAATAGCTGGAGTGTGAATGCTTAAGCACGGCCCTTTTGGGACCCACAAGTGCATGTATAAAGTGTATAAATGTTTGACATAAACATTCATATACGAATTTCTTTGTATACCCACAAACGATTTTTATTACGAATACACTTTACAAATATGGATAACAATATTTAAAATTACAACTCAAGAACCATGACCTCCACATGTCTTTCTTCTCTGGCAAATTTTAATTTTTTGTGGGCCTAATTAGCAATTTATAAGTTGCGTCAATCATTCAAATTTCAAACAATAGATGATTTCAATAGTTTGGGGTTTTTCGGGACATCCTGCATGTACAGGGTTTATCACATGAACCTGCAAATAACACAATTTGTTTGCACAAGATCGAACAGTAACATTTGAATAGCTGCATGTGTAACTGATTACGCCCTTGGGTTTGAAATTACGTTTCCGCGCACAGTACTATCAGTAGTTGCGCATGCCCATAAAATAAATAAGTCGGGCATAAGACGATTATCTGAATACGCATTTAGATATCATTTCGGTTGTGTGTTTAGTAATTATACTATGAGCTTGAGTAGTATATGACGAGAGAGCTTTTTGCAATAAGTTTATAGTAAAAATGTGCAAACTAACCCAAACTTTTATTCAATTCTCATCACAAATTCTCACAGTATCACTGGCTGTTCTCAATAGTCAACAAACTTTAATGTCTAGTTTGCATTTTGATTTTATAGTCGTGAGTGTGGTGAACATGTCAAAGTGGCTGATGCGATAGAGTATTTCCATGTTTGCGTGCTGTCAACAATGACCGATTTAACAATTTGAATACAGAAATAATGAAAAATTTACATCTGGAGTATTTTTCATTGGGTGAAAATTAACCCAACCCTTAAAATATATTATGGAGAGTTTCATTTTTTTGTGACGTCTTTCACGGTTTAACGCTCAACGCCATACCATATAGGCCGCGTGGAGGAATTAATCCATCACTATAGTATTCGTGTTAAACTTCTGATACCTCGCAATAGAATGTATTGAAATTTACAATGCTAATGAAACAAGAGTCATTCGAAAATATTACGTGCATGTGTTTGAATGAGACAATGTCTTGCATGTATTTGCGAAGCTATATTTTTACTATGCCATGAACTACAACATGCACAACTTAAATACGTTAGCATATGAACTACAGCAGTTGACAGAAATATTTAGAAATAAAAATTCATTAAATTACATCTGTTAAAGACAATGCTTTGCACTTCAATTCCCGAATGCTATGTACAATAAAAATAATTCACGTTTTCTCCTGGTCTCTCTCTCTATATAGGGAGCTTTATCTGTGACTACGAGTACATGCTTCATCATTTTCGCGCCAAACTCGGCGCTTTTGCCTGCGCCATCTGACGAAACTCGTTTTTTGTCCTTGGGTTTTGAATACGAAGTTAATGAACAAAATCATACTGCTCGACGACTACGAATTTTGGATGATGGCGTAAGCAAACAACACGCGAAAATGACGAATCTTGTACTCGTAGTCACGACTAAGGCCTGTTTTCCACTTCAACCGTATCGTAACGTAACGTAGCGTATTTCTTTGTTTCCGAAGTATTCGATCAGAACTAATGACTTTAAAACAATGAGATACGCTACGTTTCGCTACGATTGAAGTGGAAAACGGCCTTAAAGTTCCCTTATATATCAATGTTTTACCGCAAAAAATCTGGTGAGAAACTGCTAAAAAGGTTAACCGCACTTTAGGCCTCATTCTCATAATATGTCGCCGACAGTCGGCGATGTATTGTTTGTGGCCGGTGACAAAGAAAATTTATACAAAATAACAAAGCGGTTTTTTCTTCAGTGATCACCGACAATACCAATGGCCATCACCGACCGTCGGTGATATATGAGAACCACCAGGCTTAATCATGATGCTACGTTCTGCTGAGGTAAAACTTTCATTCCCGCAAATGGCCAAATAAACGGGTGTATTTAAATATTATCCTCTCTTCTTTTCTTCATTGCCGGTTCATAGTTCTCTTCGCTGTCTGCATATTGTCGTATGATATTTTGAAAATCTGCTGCCAACCTTTTGCCCATTTTGCCAACTTCCGACTCAGCCTGCGGGAAAAATTGAAACTGAATGTCCTATTGGTTACGCTAATAGCAACGGAATGCAATTTTTAATGACCAGGCGCTGGTCATAGCGGTATCCATGAAATCACCACTTTTTAAACCCTTGTAAAGATGCTGGTAAAGCAATAAAGCTAAAGATTTTGGCCTATCAATTATTAAGAGAAATCCTCAATTTAGAAACATTATGTTCAAGTCATGTTATACCGAACTGTTAAGTTTTGGAGCGTTAATATGGTGAATATAGCGCTATCCAGCGTGGAAATCAGAGATGGGTTGATGCAGAAAAGTTGCAGTGACAAATTTTCCAGATTAAGGGCTGCTTTCCCCGGCCTGTCGCGTTTTTTTACGCGAGAAAAAAATTAAATGCATCCAAATTGTTATTATTTTACAAATGGGTCAACGAATGCATACGAAAAACGCGACAGTGGAAAGCAGCCTGAACTAAATTTCGTCGAGAGCAGGACGTAACTTGAGAAGCAACGATAAAAACCAGGTACTTACATCATTGAAAACAGCACAGTTGGAAAAAACAAGCTGGCAATCAGCAATAAACTCGCTCACGGTTTTGTAGTGTTCAAAATGCACCGGTTGAAGTTTTGCTTTGATAGAGCTTAGATCCATTGGTTTCTGAATCACTTTGTAGTAATTCGGAACCTAAATCAATGGGTGCGGTAAGATAAAGAGTTTCATCCCTCGAAGGAATTTACTAACTCCGACAGATTTTGAGGGAACTAAAGAGAATATGATCAACTAGCGAAAATACTCATATAATTTGCAACGACATTTTCGCTTTATGTACTTGACCAGATTATAGATAGGGAAAGAGTTTACTAGAGAAGGGATGGCCTAACAGAGAAGAGAGGGCTGAAGGTGTATTCAGGCAGGGCTGGTTATAATTAGACGTTGGGGATTATTGAATTTTGGGAAGTAGCCTCGTACCCAGGGCCTTCTCGTAGGGGGAGACTGCTTCACATTTGAGAGGCGAGGTTTTTTATTATGAAAAGACTGCTTTACATTTGTCCCACGAAAATTAGAGTTTTTTACGTTTCAACCGAAAGGCTCCTATAAACCTACCGCCTTGCTCACTTTGTCTTGGAATGGAATGCTATCAGGATGGCAAAATAGAGCCAGCAACATTTTTTCGCATGTCTGAAATTGAAAAGATAATAAAGTGCCGATGAATGATACAACCATGCTTGCTGCATGATTGCTACAGCGATGGCCTAAATTTTAGGTGGAATCTATACCCAAATAAATTCCATATAATTTCAACTTGAAATTAAGGCTATCTACCCTCTAGATACCATTTCTCGCCGGGTGAAATGCCAAAAAATCGTAATTTGCTTATAAACACTGACGTTTATCACACAAGCATATAAACCCGTTTTGTTACAGCAAACAGTTCATAAAACATTTTGTTCAATTTTACTGCCTTTTTCAGTTCTTTGCGGAGAAAATAATCATTATAATACAACTTCATTTCAGTTTCGATTGATAGCTTACAGTCATCACGTTAAGCCGATCTGTGATTAAGTCAGATTAAAGGATTGTACAAGCAGATTTTGACTTGGTTTTTTAAGGATAGTAAGTAGCAGCCCTACCTTAGGTCTTCTCTGGCATGCCACAATAAACGTTTCATATGCAGTAAATTATATTAGTAAAACAAAAAAAACGAATAATACACCTTAAAAACTCTCTAATGCATGAAGAAGAAATCAATGTAGGGCAGTGCTAGCTACTCTCAGTACCAGCCGGGCAAGTTGCTCTTCCAACTGAGCTACATCTAAGGTTCAAGTTTTTCATTTTTTCAAAACTCAGCCTATTTCCTTCTTGTTCATGCAATAAATAGTACAGATCTGATCTAGATAACTCGTTTAAATTAAATCATTGATTGCACCTGTATGTTTACGTGTTGGTCCATCCAAACTTTCACACAAGCCACAACTCCAGGAATCACTGAAAAATTTGACACGGTAAAGATAAATAGATATACTTATTCCAATAGGAATATTAAATTCAAATAGGAATTCCTATAGCGTTATATATATACGATTTCGGGTCAATTTTTATTAGGATCCTGTAAAATCGATAGTTGGAATTAATTCTCTACATGCAGGAATCCCCATTGCGTAATTTTGTAAGGGTTTATATTCTGAATAGTTAGAAGTGAAAGATAAAGTCAATGCGAATTTTGAAATTTGTTATGGTGCCTGTTTTAAAAACTAAATTTAAACAAGAAAGACAACTGAGGAATAAAATTTTCATAATAGATATATAGATCACGTCATTTGTTTGTATATGGTGTCCTAATTAATTCGCAGTGTGGCAATGATGATAAATGTTCTCTACATCGTAAGTATGACGATGCAGAATACAAACCTGGGTGTAGATGTTAGTGAGGGTACATGACAGTTCAAATGGAAGACTTTAGGGCAAGTATCACAACACAATAGTTCACCACCATTATGACATACAGCACACCAATCTTCATTACTACTGTTGTTCGATGGTGGACCACAGGCACACAAATCAGGAATCCCTTTACCTGATGAAAAACTACACGAACCGTGTAGGCCTGGTTCCTATTGAGGACAAAATGTAATATATATTCCTGCAATGCACGACAACTAATGAGATACCCCCGTCCACGAGGGGCTCTCTTTTACACAGTCACTTCAATCACTGCACTAAATCCCTTTATTGTTCATGCACCTTTTACTTAGTATTCACCGCCATCAGCATTTAATTATATATCCAATAAAGTACAATACTCAATCATCATTTATTAATGTATATTATATATATTCCAATATAACCAGGGAGCATCGTTGCAGTGTCTTCAAATAACACAGCATCAAATGTGGTATAACAACTGCCTGAAAGTGACAAAAACACTTCTCGACGTTTCGACCTGAGGGCCTTCGTCAGGAGAGTTAGTATGAGAGTTACTAACTCTCCTGACCAAGGCCTTCAGGTCGAGAAGTGTTTTTGTTTAATTTAGGCAGCTGTTATACCACATTTGACGCTATGTTACATATAGTGATTCATATCATCTGCTTATAAAACTATAGAGTTGAACGGGATTTAGTAACGAGTGTTATCCTTTGGAGTTATTCCATTTTGGTGATTAAACATCATGCGGTTATTACTACTGTTGTTACTACTATTACTATTACTACTAGTATGTTAGTTACTCACCAGACAGAAACGACTTTTAGGGGATGTCCACATGAGCCCGGTTACCCGGGATTCAGGTATTAAAGCCCGGTTACCCGGGGAGATATTAAAATTAGTGAAACAAAACAAGCACATGTTATTGTTAGGATGACTAACCACTGCCAGGATCATATTATATACTCATTTCAATACCTCAAAATCATCTCACCCTTCGTTGAATTTTGGCTAAGCATAATCATGTAAACAGCCCTTACATACTGTTTGAAAGTTTGTTTACTCATAAGACATGCACAATTCTAACAAATTTTCCTCACTTACTGGTTTCACAGCAGTACATGATGCTTGCGGAGACTGATCTTTTTCCGTTTTAATTTTAATGCCACTCGCCTCGCGAAAATCCATACTTAAGAACGTAGGCAGTGGGGAAGGTACGGGTGATGGTTGTATATTGCTGGACGTCGGGGATAATAGGGGCCTCGGTGAGGACTGCGAGGGACTCATTGATGAATGGGACGGACTTGGCGAGGGCTTAGGAAGACTGGGTGAAAGTGGACTAGGCGATGATTGGTTTCGAGTGAGAGTTGCTGACAGGAGCGAGGAATTATGCTCAGTGCTGTGCGATGATGATATTGGATTGTCTCTTCTAACCTCGCGCGATATATTAGTCAAAATGCTGTTAATATTTGACGTCTGCGAACTAGAAAAGGAAAGGATATCTTTTTTGTATATTTGTGCCAGCATATGTCACTGCGTTATCATACAATTAAGCTAACAACTTGCCGAGATAGATATATATTTCTTTCCCGGTTAAGCTGAGCAAAAACGCTTTTTTTTTAACGCAGTCCACTGAAGTGTCTTCCTGTCCTCTAGTTTAATGCGAAGGTAAAAAAACATCGGCAACGAGACATTATCCAGTATCGAAGCGACATTGGCAATATAAAGGCCTTTTACTTCTTTTGATAGATGTGAACGAGTGAATTAGTTACTGATGTTAAAATAGGAGCTCGTACACACCAGAGCATTCGTAATTAATTCACTCGTTCGCATCTATCAAAAGAAGAAAATCGCATTGAACTGTAAGCGGGCCTTAAGAGGTGGTAGGATTGCCTGATAATACATTGTCAAACACTGTTCATCTGCATTTAAAATTGCATGTCGATTCCGATTGCAGGACCTTTGTGAAAAATTATTTTTTCCAAAAGTGTGACACAATTATAGAGTTGAATTTAAAAATGTTTCTTGGCATGATCCATGAGAGGCATGATTGATATATTTTAATAGTACTTTGTAAGTTAAGGCATAGAAAAAAATCATATATCCTTCAGAATAGCTAAAAAACCATGCAACAATAATATTATGAATGAATAGGACTCAGCTCGCAGACGCAATAGTTTAAAGGTTTGTACGAGTCTAGTCTCATGAATCGTGTGATAGGTGCGTGCACATGTATGTTGTTTTCTGCGCAGGAGGAACCCAGAGAGAAAACAGGAACAAAAAATAATGAAATATAACAATAATAACCAATTCCTCTTTGACTGTTTCCTTTGCTTAGACAAGCCATTTTTTGAGGAAACTACACGCTTTTGTGCAGATAATAGAAATATTTTTGAATTGTCAGTTTTGTCTTGTATTATTCTTTCAGAGCATTTTATTTAAAACAACAGCTGCATTAAATTGTCAATACTCACAAAAGGGATTGTAAAATACAGGCAATGGTGACTTAACTGACGCACTGCACGCTCTCTCTTCTGCCGGATGATACTATGGGAAATGTGTGTGGTGGGTGCCCGAAACCTCACCCACCTAAAGCTAGGCTCATTTCCTAGAAGGCTTCTCAGAGAAATCATATCTCGCAATATTACACCGAATATTTTCATGAAAGGCATATAGTAACCAAGGAAACCAGAAGCCTCATGACGTCATTCTGTTTCAAAACAAGTTTTTTTTCTATTTTCGAGTAGGGAAATTTATGCCAGAAAATTCTTTCGTGTGAAATTATAGAATGCGTCGTAAATCTTCAAGGGTTGGCTATCCTGATAATTTTCAAAGATGACGTGTCCTCGCGTCTGTTATGATGGTTGCTGGGACACCCATATCAATATGACAGCTGTTTTATCAAACACATCCCACGCGGCTAGACTTTGCGGCGCCACACAGGAATTTCTTAATTGTGTGGTTAACCGCGCTAGGGAAATCCGTTTGTCATTTCCTTATGTCGCGCATCTGTCATATCTTACAGCGAAATTAAAAGGTTTGGGCAGCTTGCCCAGAGATGTTGACACCGACAGAGGCACGCCTTTTATGTTTCTCGATAGTTCATATATATATTTCATAACGGTTCCAATAATGATTCCACCCAATGACCAAAGGAGCGACTGAAATGTTCATACAGACAAGAGATACTCTAGTTGACATGCAGTTACCACATTTCAGAGAAAGTTCTTTTATCATCTGGTGAAACAAAGACGATTCTTGGGTTTTATGTCGTATGACGTCATAGACCCCAGCGAGGATCTCAACTCAATAGAGACACGATAATTTGCGGGAATTAATAATTAATTGTTTACTGTATGTGTTGATAGCGCTTAGCAATGAATCTGCGAAATTTTGTATCATTTGCCACTGAAGTATCAAAGCATTCTATAGATTCCGCTGACGCCCAACCAAACCAACGCCTACAATGCTCAAAGAAACCTACTCATATTTTTAGCTATAAAAAGCTACTATAACATAACATAAGCGTACATGTGCGTGATTCTACGGGTGAGGAATCCATTGTCGATTAATAGATGAACACTTTTCTGTCATTGCGCATATAGACGAAAATAAACGATGCTTTTATCCAATCAAATTACATTTGTGTTAATTTGAATTAGACGCCAGCAGTTGGAGACTTATGAGGTTTTTTATTCAGTGGAAAATACTTTTTCACAATGAGCATGTACACTTTACAATATAACGCTATACTTGCATGTTTATTTTCGACATTAAAGGGAAAGGGACATGTCGCAGAGCTCGGAAGCTTTCGTCCAATTGGATAATGCTTTTCTATGCTTTCTAAAGAACGAAGCTATGCTATTCGTTGAAACAGAAATGTATTGTACTGTTCAGCCGATGAATATCAGTCTTGCGAGGAGCTGCGACACTACCCATGTGTATATATTTTAAAATATGTAAAAATATATAAATGAAAAGGTCAGTGAAATGGCAACTAAACGTTCTATAGGCTAAGACCTTCTATAGGCGCACAGCAAGAATTAATTGGGGCACGTATTTCGTACCTATATAAGTGTTTATTTGGTCAAAAAATAAAATTATAAATTCGCCAAAGCATGCCTATTCCAATCACCACCATCGACTCATCAGCGAAATTGATTTGTTACTAGCCAATGATGCATATATAATTTTAAATGTCCTTAAGAGTATTTCCAGATTTTTTGATAAAGTACGATATTAAACCTAACTCAAGAAAGCAGATTTATAAAAACCAGACTTATGAAACCCAGATTCATGGAAACCAGCCTCATAAAAACCAGACTCATGAAAAGCAGACTTATGAAATCCAGACTTATGAAATCCAGACACATGAAAACCAGACTCATGAAAAGCAGACTTATGAAATCCAGACTTATGAAAGCCTGATTCATGGAAACCAGACTCATTGAAACCAGACTCATGAAAACCAGACTTATGAAAACCAGAATCGTTAAAACCTGATTCATGAAAACCAGACTCATGAAAACCAAAATCGTTAAAACCTGATTCCTGGAAACCAGACTTATGAAAACCTGACTTATGAAAAACCAGACTCATGAAAGCCTGATTCATGGAAACCAGACTCATGAAAACCAGACTCATGAAAACCATGGAGTCATGAAAACAAGACTTATGAAAACCAGCCTTAGGGAAACTAAACTTATGAAACCCAGAACTCAACGCGATCAGCATGCCAGTTTTCATATTCAGCAGTTTGAAAATGCCTGAAATACTTGCAATTCCTTATACGATTATAAATACCGTACGTATCATCCCAAAATTAACAAGTGCATATACTGTTCACAAGGTAAAACCTCAAGGTCAAATACCTCAACTAAAGCCGTTTGAGTGATGACGACGAATTTCCAAATAAGGTCACGATCTGGGAATCCTAAAATCTGAGGCGGTAATAATGCACGCAGTAAGCGCTGTTAGTTACAAACACCTTTATGACAAGTTTTTCCCTGGTTATATAAAGATAAATGCGACTATTTTATGACTAAAATGGCGGAATTTATCTAGCCTAGCACTTTACTCGCCAATCGCACTCTCCCTTGCTCTTTCACGACTGGCAAAAAACGCACGAATCTCGTAAAATACCTGCATGGCTGGATTACACGTACATGCAAGACTGGATATTTCATCGCGTCAAAACACTACTCGCACACCGAACTCAGGAATTGCGCCACATGCACAAATGGAATTCCATTCCGTGACCAACTACAGGTCAGCAACTGTCACTCAATACAGCTATTAAGTGAAAATACTTCTACGTCCGATTTGTGAAGAATTTATTCATTATAGATAAAGCCATTAAAAGCCACTTATCACAAATTTTAGATTGGAATTATACTCCGAAATCACTGCAGTCGTAAGTAAAATTGACCAACAAAGGCATACTGCATGAAGCAAAATTTTTAAGAAATTTCTGAAACTCGCCAAATTTCAAATTTGTCATTTGCTTCAATTTAAGTTTCTAACCTATTACCAGTGAATTTGTTTTGAAGAATATAATATTTTCCTCTTACTATATATCGTGAATATCCCATGACCGCAAGTGTGAGCATATACTAAACCGGGCCCCTTTCAACTGTCTCCTTAAAAGTAAAATTTTTGATAAGCGTTCTTGAAAATGATTGAGATGATTGAGTAGCATATTGTATAATATTAAATACATACTAAAACGTGTTATGTACAGCTTTATATACCTTTGACTGAGTATTATTATGAGACCCGAATGAAGTGGCGTATGAGTTCTACGAAGTTCTCAGTAAAACACCTCCATCCATGTAATAAACACTAGTATTTAAGATTGCAGTGATATATGAAATCAGAATAAATTTTTACGACACGAAAGAGAGCAGTATGACGTACATACGTACATAGAAAGACCTCCTGTTTTATGTAAGTCCTTGAGAAGATACAAATCTGCCTATTTCAACAAGTTCGAATCGAAAACATTCTAGATTATAGATTCTAAATTTATTCATCGGCTGTTTATTTGCAATCGATGATCACGATGGAAAATTAGCTACGCTGCAAGGGAACATATCATGTTCCATTTTTACACGTTGTGCCGCTGAAAGAAGATGATAAACTTTGGGTAAAAAGTCACTACCGTTCTAACTTACCGCAAATAGAAGTAAAGGTTTCGTCCCCCCCCCGAGCAGTAAATAATAGCAATGAGTGGGTCTCAGGAGCTATGCTAGGGCATGTTGAAACACAGAGTCTTGCACGGTAATGCGATTCGATCTTGCTGTTTTATACTAGTGTACCTCCTGTTGCCTGGTCCTACATCAATGCTTCTCCTTAGCAACCATGTTAGCAACAAGTAAAATTTGTATTTAAAAATTTATATTCGTTTTTTAGGTCGCTTTGTTGGTTTTTTCCGGAGGAAAAACAGCGTTTTTTTTTAACTGGTCTTACTATCTTAGACATCCTGAAATGTCAAAAACGACTTATTTTGGCCTCAAACATCGTGAATGAGTGAACACCCTGGACTTGGATTTGCACCCCATTAACGCGCTTCCCAATTTCTCTTCGATGCCCCCCCCCCCTCTCTCTAGTGTTATTTATAATCTCTATGATTATGATTGTGAAAGCAACAGCCCAAGATGCATTGCTTACGCGTGCCGGAAAAAAGCCCAAATTTTCCCCAGATTTGTCACAGCTTAATTCGTAGCATTTTGCACATCATTAGCGTGACGATTAAAAAGTTATTAGGAATTCTTATATAATTTTATTGATCTTGAATATTTCATTCTTGAAATCAATATCAGGCATATAACTGATATAAGTATACATAATATGGAATATTTACTAATTTTGGAATATGTTTAATGACCATTCTTTTTATACCGAATCACTTTGGTTAAACTGCCATCGATATGTTTGTTATTAAAATGATTAAGGAAATATTCATGAAAGAGGAAGAGGGTGGAGTTTAAGTTTGACGTCTGGATTATTTGTTAGAGCTGACGACAACTATTATGACACTAATTCCAATTATGACAGAAGTCAGATATAACTGTCATGTTAATTGCATAATGCGAATTCCGCTTAAACAAAAAAAAAACATTTAAAAACAGCGAGGACATGGCATTCTAATATTCTAATAGTCGTGACAACCAAAACACTCTTGCTTGCTTTATGAAAGTGCAATATTTATTTTTATGTTATGAAAGAATTAAAAAACCACGTGTCCCGCCGTTACAGTGTATGTACATGTGATATGGCACTGTACGAATATGGGAGGAATATTAAAAAACGCCTTATGTTTTATGCCCGTTTTCCACTGGCTGAATTTATTCGCTAAGACGAAGCGATATATGAAATCCGTTTATATGTGATTCATTTCCGAAAAAATTCGCCGCGAAACAGTGAAATGCTTCCTACAATTTTGCGCGAATAAATTCGTCTAGTGAAAAACACGCTTTACAAGCTCATTTCGTATTCTCTCATCATCCAGCTTATTCTGCATCCACAACGGCACAATTTTTTATTGCGAAATAGCAATTGCTTATTTCTCTACGGGGAGCCACATTTTAGACCCCCTGTGTGGACCTTAACTAAATTCATGTTCCTGCTGAATGATTCTATTCTATATTTTATGAAATGCAACTCAGTCTAGGAAAACATTCTACAGCGAATATCTAAATACATGAACGTATTGAATACCCAATTCTACAGTGAATACCCAAATTGAACGTATATAGTAATATATAAAAAATATGACCAAACTTTCTAAAGAAGCTAGAGTGTGTAGTATAACTGCATGCTTCTTAATATCTTAACAGCATACCTCTATAATCATTGTTGTTAAAAAGCTGCTATATTTAGAAGGAATGCCTGTGGGATATTGTTCCAACATTGCTCTATCAGTGTCCTCATATGTTCAGCAATATATTTTACTCACATTTATTGTATGTCATATGTAGATATTATATGTATGTCATATCCAGATATTATATGTATGTCATATCTTGAATGAAAGCCTAAGGTGTTGCATTAAATTTGACTTTTATCATTGATGATTTAGCATTGGCCCTTGTTTTTTTCAATGCATTCTTAATATGTCAATATCACTGTATAAATAATGCTGGTGTTGCATTAAATTTGACTTTTATCATTGATGATTTAGTATTGGCCCTTGTTTTTTTCAATGCATTCTTAATATGTCAATATCACTGTATAAATAATGCTTTATTAATAATTTTCCAAAACACTATTGACATGTCAATATTGTACTATAAAGGGAGTGTGCTATTTTAGTCACAGTACACCAAAATCGCATTTTTGGTTTCATCTATTGCAACTAAGTTTATCATGCACTTTCTGAACTTTCTTTAAAGCAGAAAACATCGATAAAAGGACAAATATATTATATATAATATATATTATCATCTAACTGCAAGTCATGAAAATCTAAGATGAAGAAATTCATCAATCCAAGTAACAGACTCAATCCATGGTTTTTGGATGACAGCTAATAATAGGCAGCAGATTTAGCATTAAAACATGAACATCAAAGAAGACATGAAAATGACATGGCATGGCCATTTTCACATCCTCTTTGATGTTCATGTCCTCATCCTAAAATCTAAATTTGTCTAATAATCTACCTACACTGACAATACATTCTATACATACATGTAGAATTGCAGAATTGTAGTATTTCTGGATTTGGAAACAATAAAAGCCAGAAAAAACTATTTTCTTACATAAAAACCACTGGTCAAAATTATATCCCAAAATTTGGAATAGTTAGCAAAATAATTGCATTCTTACCTTGTCAACTCTAATGTAGAAGACGATGAAGACTTCCTCATGGTCCGAACAGATGCGTCATAATTTGGAGGAGATGAACTAGGAACACCAGCAACAGAATTCCCTGCATGCCGCAAAGGAACGCCAGGCACGTCTGGATTGGTCAGCCTTCTAGATGAAACACTGTGAATCTGAGGACTTGATGGAAATGGTTGTGATGCTGATGCAATCGACACTGGTATAGCATTTGATCTACTGTGACCTGGAGCAGTATTTCTCACAGATGCATAAGGTAAAGTGGTTGAACAAACACCACCAGATCTAATTGGCATGGCTATTTGAGAAGTAATCACATTAGGGTAAACTTTCGATGATGGTTTGGGGTTAATGCCTGTTGCTGCCTGAATTCCAGGCCTGTTTGTGAAGGTATTTAGTGAATGTAGCGGGTTCACTTTCATCGTAGAATGGCTTCCATTTTGATGGGATGGTATATTAGGATTGCGTGTCATGTTTGCCCCATTTAGGCTGGATCTCTGGCTAGATGGTGTCATCACAGAACCAGCTTTGAGGATAGCATTGCAAAGCTTTACTGCTTCGGTAACAAACTTCAAATCACTATGGGCCACCGGTGTGACACGATATTTCAAACTCAATAGATTTTGTATCCTAGATCCAAGCTGTCTCTGAGATGTCAACAAAGATGTGTCACTACCTTGGTAGACAGCATGCTTTGTAAACTCATAGTTATGTTTCAAAATTTCCTGCATTAAATTCAAATCTTTCGACTGTTTATTCAACATTTTCCTTTTGAAATGTACAAGTGCCTGTAGCTCATTCAGTAAAGTTAATTCACGTTGTTTCACAGCTTTAATTATCTCATTTGAGGAGTTCCTAATCTCGTTTGCGACGATCTCTGATTTGTGGTCTAAATGGGTAGATGAATTATGAACAGCTTCAATGGATTCCGCAAGGGGCATAATTCTGTCCTCCAAAGATTTTAAACGTTTTTTAAAGAAATCTCTGTATCTGCCAGCGGCCTCGTTGACAAACTGGTACTGATGATCTTTGTGTTCAAGTAATTGACAATCTCTGCAGGTCAATCGCTCGCATTTAATACAAAATAGCTTGAGCTTCTCGCTTGGGTGTTTTTGACAGTACAATGAACGTTCGTTGCGACTGTGACTTTTAACGCTTGCTCTTAAATCATCGCCTGATTTTATTTCATGGTCCTTGGTAATACGTACACGCTGGTGAGCTTGTACACAGGCACTACATAGCCATTCGGAGCAGTTGAGACAGTACGAACAGGCTGTACTGTTGTCTTCGCACGAAGTACAAACGTGTTGTTCTGACTCGCTCTCGCTACTACAAGGTTTCGTGACAATTTCGAGGATGAACTGGTTATCGATTAAACTCGCAACTCCTCTGCTTGGCACGAGGAATTCTTGACCACATTTCGGGCATTTTAACCTAGATGTAGAAGCTCTAGGTGTCATTGTCGAAGTTGACGCTTGATCATCTTGTAGCCGATCTTCTAGGCAGGCTTGACAAAACGAGTGTAAACATGGGAGCAATTTTGGCACAACTTTATCAAAGCCGGTTGTACAAATGGAGCAAAATTTTGGCAGACTTTCATCTCCTTTTTCTTCTACAACGACAGGACTTGAAGTACCATCAATTTCGACAGTATCCACACTCATATTTAGCGCTATTTTAACGCACCCCAAAACCACTCAAAGACGCCGTCCAAAATGGCGCCTTGCCTTGCCGTCACCTTCGCGGGCAATCACACCTGCAAAGCTGCATCGGCAAATTAAAACAGAAAATAAAATTTATATATTTCTCCCAAAAAATGTGGGAGAAACATTTAACAATTCGTGTACAAATAGTAACTGAAACGATTCAAACGAAATACATATCTATATATATGTACATCGTAAAAACCTATCGTTTATTCAGTTGTAAGATAAGCCGGTTGAAGCTTAGCCAAGTTAGGTCACAAATCTGAAATTATGACGAGATTTAGCAGGTATTTCGTCACGTATGCGTCAAGACAAGTCAGGCAGGCAGGCTCAAAACAAACAATTTTGGCACCTGTCTTTTGTCTTTTTGATCCTCTGTCAAATCTCTCAACACTTTCTATTTTGGCTGAGTTGATAAAGGAAGGCAATCAAAAGCATCAGGGGTGACGATGAGTTCGACCGGATAGATCTGTGACACCCCCTCTTTTCTCAATGTAAACAACATCCGGTCACAAACTGAAGCCTGGTTTACACTTGTCCTAAGAATCTGGGATTCCCTTTGTCGGAGGTCGCTGGTGCGCAAAATGCTTTGTCTATCGGAAAATGATACAATGGATCCCCGATTCTTAGGAGCTTGTGTGAACCAGGCCTTACACATCACCTGCGGCAAACGACACCGTCACCGACGTTTCATATACCGATAGATATATACCGTACGATAATCATAGGCCTACAACGGGGGGCAGGAGGGCAGCTGCCCCCAGAGATGCTTGAAACTTTGGGCAAATTTTGCTGAAAATGGTAGTCAGGCAATGCAATTTATACTGGGTACTGGGTAGTCGGTAACTTTTACTGAAATCATTCGCGTGCCGCCAACCCCCCCCCCCAAATGAGTGCAACGCCTATGACGATATGACACCAGATATCGGTACGTTCCAATTCCCCAAATATCTTTTGGAATGTATACTCCCTGCACGATGTTGATCAGGGGCTCCGAAGCTAATCCCGTCACCACCTACAATCCTAGCCAAAACCATTGACTACACTCAAAATGATTTGTAGTTTTTTATGCAAAACATCAACATTTCTGTTTCTCGATTTTCCCCCTCGCCCCCCTAATCAAAGTTGAGTGCATGCTAAATACTTGAATGAGTTCTGACACATCACCCAACATTTATTTGTGGGGGAAAGGGGGAGAATTTTGAAATATATTCCGTGACTACTGACTGTAGTGGCAATTAACACTGAGTGTCGTCAATGTTACGTTCTGACCAGGATTGTAGCCCCAGGCCAACGTCGAGCTCACTAATATCCATGAACGTTTCCCTCACGGTGATCGGCAAATAACGATTTTCAACCCTTTGGCATGGCATGCATGGCTTGGCTACTAGTTTAGTTTTACAAAAGGATGCGCAAACTGAACCACGATAAAAATTTTAGATGGATCTGTAAATATCTATTATAATGCTAAGCCAAGGGCAGCAAACAACGGTTACAGCTCAAACCGTTTTTGCGATCTATAGTTTTGTGCTCCGGCTGCATGCCCTGAGAATATTAATATCACAGTGAAAATATGCGGTATGTCCACTGAAAACGTCTTGATGATTATTCTTCAACTGAGAATGGCATTGCGTGAAATAAATGGAATAAAAGGCTACAAAAGTGATTCACTGACATAGAATGACAACTTCAGAGTTTAATCCTAGATTTAGGCATAAATTCCTCTAAAAAGAACTGTGACGCATGAACCCTCCTACTCCGTACTCATATGCTCAATTGAATGTGACGTTTTTTGAAGTGGATTGAATCTCAAAATCCTTAATCATGCATATAATATAGTTCTCATAGATTTCGAGATTCTGGGAGGGACACGCGAAATTGTGATCCTATATAATCAAAGTATATGCAGGATAGGTCATACATTTATTATTGCACCATAAAATCTATTTTAATTTGATGATTACACATTCATTTTACATCTAAAAGATTTTTAAAATATTACTAACCTATACTTAATAAATTATCGCTATCACCTAAACTAACTAAATTAATACCCATGCATATATGACACTAATTCTCTCAAAATATAATTGACGAAACCCTGACCCTAGGGACCCAATGGTTCGCAATGCATTTGAGAAGGCTGCAATCCCAAGCTGGTTTTTAATATGCGTGAAATGTAAACATTTCTTAAAGCTATGGCATACGATGTTCATGTGCCTCATGGATGTAAACTAGAACGATAATGGGAGGGGAGGTGCATAAATTTTAATATAACCAGTTCTACCAGTTTCGTAAGCCTATTAAGCCGGTTTTCCACTAGCGATATTTTTCGCGCGAAGCGACTTTATTCCTTTGTATTTGAGCAATTTGTTCCAAATGGTTGCAGTTGAGAGCTCTGAAACAAAAGTAAAATGTCGCTTTCGCACGAAAAATATCGCTAGTGGAAAACCGGCTTTAGGGAGATTTAGTATTGAGGGCGTGAAGGTCAAAGAGGACGTGAAAATGGCGAATAAATGGCGTGATGCGTCTATATATGGACATGCCACGCCATTTATTCGCCATTATCAGGTCCTCTTTGACGTTCACGTCCTCATGCTAAATCTCCTATTATCTCGTCTTGTATTCCATTTACTATAATAAAACGTTTATTGGGTTCATATATAAGAAGATGAACTGTCTCGCCTGCCGTGATCTCGCGCCTTTGACAAGCGATATGATAGGTACATAGACGGGTTCAATCAATTGACCATAACAAAAAATATGGCGGATGTATATTTTACCAGAATACATTGCGGTCGGAAATCGTTCAAAAAAGCCGGACGTCTTTTAAAGGACAGGCATGAAACAGGAAGTTATTTTCTTTGCTGTGTTAAAATTTCACGTAATTAGGAGTTTTTCTTGCCATCTTTTTTCAGTCAATCATTCTTAATGCCCGCAAGGCATTCCGGTAAAATGGACATGCCGGCATCTTTTTCGTTACGGTCAATTCCCATATGAACACGGAACGAAGCACAATGAAATCGTTTCATCTTTTTATAGCTGATTCCAAATACCTCCCCCCCGGTCACTCTCCCAGGTAATCATATTACATTTTCACAGAACCATTTAAAGAGCATTACATGAAATTCCACGGCATATCATTGAGCACGCCTAAATCCTCATTTTCGATAACATTGATTAACAAGGAGAAGCTGTCTTCTTCAGCTGCAGTATTTTCCATCGCATTAATGGCCCCTTGAATACCTTCCAACTGCTCCAATAATATGCCATCAGCTAGACTGTTCTGTTGCTCTTCATTGCTTCCACTAGTAACTTCAAAATTATCTCGTTGTCTGTAGTTCGTATCTTGTGCTGGACGCAGACCATTCGCAACAGTCGACTGACTTTCAGTCAGGGAATCGACATTGGTATATTTCGCTGATTGCGAGTTTCTAAATGAGACGATTGTTTAAATTTAAAAAAAATTAGCAATGAGAGTTCAGAAAGCGATGTTTCTGCCAGGACCGTCGCTAGAAGCTTATTTGGGAGAGGGGGGGGGTGCATATTCATATATTCGTCTTGTGCCCGACTGATTTCTTATGTTTGCTATTAGCGAGCTTAAGCAAGTGACGTTTTTGACAACACGTACATTGACCGAAGTAAAGTTTTTATTTTTCACCAATCACAATCCTTGACCCAGTCTTTTCCTGGGCTGTACGCGATGTATTTATTCTTTTAAGTTGGGTCGCCAGATTTGTGGACATCGGTAAAAATAAAGTCTACAAACAGTCCATCAAAAACTTGAACCTGGGACCTGGTTATCTTAACCTCGTTACATATAATACGTTGAATTTAGATAGCTTCTCAAAAAATACCCCAAACATACATTTTTGGTTGTTGTCCAATTTTTTCAGCTTGTTCAGCAATTAGTACACCAATATCACTGGGACTGCTTTGCTTCTGTGGTTCTCTGTCTGTAACTAGCCCTCGTTTTCTTTGCAAATTGCCTTAAAAAAAAGTAGAACGCTGCAGTATTATCCCTGAGCTGGTGCGGTGCGAGGGTACTAATGAACGCCACATATATCTGGAATGGTAACTTCCATACTTTCGGCGCGCAAAAAATGAAGCCTCACCTCGAGTCTTCCCACGCGGTTTGTACGTCAGTCTCAGTCCCTGAATGCAAGCCGTTACATGCCCAGTATAAATTTGGATGTAATCACGAAAAAGATAAACTTAGTCAGACTCAATGCAATACATTTGGGAGCAAACACTAAAATTGAAATCTTAATTGAAGTCTTAATTTACGTTATAAGTTGAAAAACTCTTTTCCCAGTAGATGCTCTATGCCCTATTTGATATCCTTGTACAGTCAGCTATCGGTATAACAGCCCGTTAACAGGCATTTATACGCTGAAATGCACATGCACGGAGATCACAATGCACAAACAACAAATAATTAATAACCGCGCAGGAGACTATGTCCGATATGATGACGAATGCAATCACGTGTCGTTTGTCGTGATTGCATAACTGTCATTTCCGATTGCATAACTGATTGCATAATTGTCATTTCCGATTGCATAACTGATTGCATTACTGTCATTTCGCAAAATTTTCATGAAATTTATAAATTTATATTTTCATACGTATGGAATATATATATAATATATATAATTATATATATATATATATATATATATATATATATATATATATATATTCCTTGGAAAATCTACAAATCTGCAATATTTACATGCACGTGCACTGTTGCACGGTGAAGGACTGATCGATTAGAATCGATTAACAATCCAAAATTCAGTTTATCTCACAACCTCGTTCCTATGATAGTATGATCTTACCTTCGCTCGCCCGCCCTCTGCTGCGCAGCCCAGTCCCTATTTACGTAAGGAATCGAGTTTCCTCGATAGTAGATAGCATTGATATTTCAAAGTCCTGGCAGCATAATTAATTCCCCGTAGCGTATTTCAAGCAAAATATTTGACTAGCGACGTCGAACAAGGTCGGATAACCGCGTCGTAGACTAATCTCAATACAGAAGAAAGTGGGGACAAATAAGTCCCGGTGCTGTGTATTTTAAATGTGATTGGTTCATTCGTAGTAACATGACTTTAAATAAATGCAATGTTTCCCGCCAGTGAAACAAGTGAAAAATTGTTGCCCGTTTCTTGTCATAACTAAGTTAAGTGGGGTTTTTTAAATGAAATTGTTGCGTAACATGTATATATTTGTTCCTATATAACAAAACACTTAATGTACACTACCTCGGGAAATAGTGAGTTTTGTTTTCTCTCGAGTCTCAGACTCTTGGGAAAACAAAACTCACTATTTCCCCCGGGAGCATACATTAAAGTGTTTATTGGTTCCTGGCCTCTCAGGAGTACCAGCCTGGCCGCGTGTACTAAGGAACGTATAAGAGGCCGAGGGACTAGGCTGTCTGCTGCGGGCGAAGGTGAGACCCTGGGGCTTTGGTGAATGTTCCGCCTCCGTTAGATAATCCACCAAAGATCACAATGAAAGTTTATTTTAATGTTTCCAACACAAATTACAGATGCTCACTCCCTCACAGTCTCACTCTCTCACACTATTAACTCTCTGTCTATTGACATGCGTCATAACTAAATTAACTATGATTGATTATGCAGTATGACAGGGCCTGTCTCCAACAGGGCACGTGAATGTAAACTTCGTTTGAATGTAAAGGTTTGACATGTACATTGATTTGAAAAATAGGGCAAATCTAGCAATCGTTTCATTTGCAATCATTGCAAAAGCGTTGCACTGGTTTTGATCAATCGACCATTGCAAATTTAGAATTTGCAAGCATGGATAAATATTTGACCCTGATTTGAGGGCTTTATAATCGATGTTTTTGTGTGTATGAAATTGAGGAATTCTTATAATAAATGGCGCAAAACACAATTTCTAGCAAATCTGAGAACAATCATAGCACTCCTTACTTTTATTGTCGTTCAGGTTTTCTAACTTTGTCAATAAATGACGTAAACTTTCATCCATGTTTTGTTGTTCTGAAAAACGATCTGATGCCTACAACGAAAATAAAATTAAAAGTGATCTAACATTTAATATCGGCGCTTCGCAAAGATGACAGCTGGGTTAAGTCTTATTACTTACCACGTTTTTTGTCCCACTTTGAATTACATTTGATGGCATGGACCTATTTAGAAAAATAATACATGCTGGAGCTGCATTGAATTAGCTACATATATACGTATATAACATTCATTTATACATAAAATAGGACATGTCGCAGCTCTCGGAAGCTTTCTTCCAATTCGAATAATGCTTTTCCATGCTTTCTCAAGAACGAAGCTATGCTATTGGTTGAAACAGAAATGTATTGTAAAATTCAGCCAATGAAAATCATTCTTACGCGGAGCTGCGACACTATACCCATAAAATATAGAATTAATGTATTCCACTAACTTCATAACAACATTTCGTGTGGCAATATAATCAATTTCTTTCGAATAAGGATTGCGAAACACAACTGAAGTGGTTTTCACTGGGACATAGTGCCCAGCCTTGGCGCGGAATCTGTATATCATCTCCGGGCGGGTCACACCCTTGGTAGTAAGAGCCTTCTGATGAGATCCAGCCACAATTCGAAGGTCATCTTTATGAAGGAAACTGTAAGCTGAGTTTCCTATCACTTCGTCTGGACAATAACCAAATATCTTCGTGAAGCTAAATTTAGGCAACGAATAATCAATATTATTACCTATATACCACTTGTCAAAGTTTGGTGTTCGTAGCGTTTCACGCTGGTCCAACTTAGCTAAGTTTCTCCCACTCGTGCGGGCTCATGTTGTCAGCGGACAACTTACGCAAAATTGAGAGCAGAGCGTAAAACGAAAAACTTTTAATTTTTTATGCGAAGACCGCTGGAAAACTGAGCCCTCTTTACCGGGAGAAAATTTGCCGAATATGACCAACGTGGTTTCATTGGTCGAAAACGAAGCACGCGAAAGTGACGAAATTTTGATGTCGCCCGCAGGACGCCCTGTAGAGTGAGATGCCGCGTTGTTTCCCATGGGAAATAACAACTTTAATCACGTGCGGCGCACCTGGACATGCGACCTTGTTTTCCCGTTTGAAATTATGTCTTTTATGATTTATGAATAGATTTTTCGTTGTTTACCTTGTAGTTTGTTTTTTTGACAAGATGGTACATAGTAAAAAAAATTATTTACCTCAGAAAACATAATGTTTCTTGGACCCTTGACCGTCGATATTTCACTCGGTTTAGACCAGTCTCGGGTCCAAAAACATACCGTATTTACTCGACTGAGCGCCGCATTTACTATAAATTTTTCTTAAAGAGTACCGCCCCGAATGAGCGCCGCACTAATTATTTCCAAATTCGGCGCTTAATCGACGCACTGTCAGAATTGTTGAAGACGCTATTGTTGAATTGGTCTTTAGAATTTTCATAAGGCGCAGGTCAGTCATGAAGGCAGAGATTCCAGTGATTGTCCAGATGAATGTCCAGATGCTCTCTGTCAAAATGGGGACATTTGGCAACATCTAACTTTCAATTCTTTTTGTTTGAAGTTCTTGTTACCATTCACAAATAATATTTTTTAAATAGCGCCGCCCTCGATTAAGCGCCGCATCTGAAATTCAAAAAATTTAAAGAGGGTTGCGGCGCTCAAACGAGTAATGTTTCGTTCGCTCGCGGTAAATAAGTACAAGTGTTAACCATATAAGAGGGAAATTAACGAGAACGTAATCCAGAAGTACTAAATTGCAAACTATTTACTTTTGATCGACACGGACAAATGTGGCGTCGGCTCGCTGTCTTGTTTCAAAATCGCGAATCTGTCCAAGCTTGCTGTAGTCTGTTTCCTCGGTATCTATCTCAAGAATACGACCGACAGCGACAAGACAACTGCGAGAGTTGGGATCATTGCTTGATTTCATCTCCTTCTTTGGTGGCCATGATTTTAAAAAGCCTTCATATGAGACTAGAAAGAACGAAAGAGAACACGTTAATGAACTGCGACAGACAAATGTGTTCTCCCTGAGGGTTTTTTTAGAAAATATGTATTTTTTTACTAAGTGTGACCTTCTTTAAGTAACGAACTAATGAATACGTTCATGGAGACTAAATAAAAAAGATTCACTGGCATGGTAACTATTCACATATGTAAGTATATTTGGTAGGGTTTGGTATATGCATATGTTCACAATAAATTAAGATGATTTTGTTACTAACTTACTAATTTATTACTGTTTTATTCACCAATCAGAATTGCCCAAAAATAAATATTGATTGCTATTGTCTAATTGGAATGGTACTTTTCGAGCAATCGTTTTTTGTGCATTGCCTGAATTTGTGAAATGTCAGTGTTGTTGTGGGGAAATGTGGTGGGAAATATTAGAGTTCTTTGAAACTCTAATCATCAGCTGATGGTATTATCACGTGGTACAAATCCAACTTGATAGTAAACGGTTGAAACATAGTATTCTTGCAATATCGTTCATTTGTGAACACATGGGGAAGGGAGACATATAGTTTTAAATACACGGCACGTGAGTCATGTCATGACTCATAATAAAAAATGGGATTCTTACTTGTAACAGTATCATTGTCATCAACGAATACATTTGCTTTCGTTTTCCGAGTGGTTGATTTTGTCCCCATATTTTTTATATCTTCCGCGTTAGTAACTTTTTTCATACGGCACAGGAATGATCGTTTAGCTCCTGGGCATAAATTTTCAGCATTCCCAATGCTTTCTTCGACTACGTCAGGTTTCTTTATGTAAGACTTTTCATCCTTGCCCTCTGACGCTGTTGTGGATAGCTGAGTCTTTACCATGGCAACGTCTTTACTGTGAACGAGTTCGTAAAAATCAAAACCTATCATATTAGCCTAAAAAATAAAAAAATATTCAAAATAAAAATCTGGAGAGCCAACTAAAACAATATTCCCATAGCCCTTTCGATAGTTACGTCACAACATTATCGTTATCATTATTTCAAGTTTTACCCTTAGGAGCAACGGGTAAAGATACAAAACATCGTTTATCGACAGATGCGTGAAAAAGAATTTTTAACTTTGATAAATAAGAGAGAAAATAAGCTGTAACACAAAAACGAGTATACCAGCAGTGGCGTCGCGAGCATCGATAAGTGGTGTGGACATATTCACATATTCATGTTCACAGACCGTTAAAACAATCAATTTGAATAAAAATGAATAATGTAAAACACGAATATGTAAATAAGTAACCCCCCCACTTATCATTCTAGTGACGCCACTGTATACCAGGCCACGACCAGGAGCCTCGTTCTCGAGTAATGGCTTATTTCTACACTTTTTTGTCAAAATGAAAAAATGTGTTTCATGCAGGTGTTGAAAAAGGATGCTTTGTATTTTTGCAGATAGCCTGTGAGAGTAAAACTTGAAATCCATCTCATTCAAGGTGTTTCTAAATTTATAATGACAATGTTGTGACGTATTATCGAAAGGTGTATTCAGATAAACATAGAGATATGGCGGACCGAAGCAGACTCTACCTGGTTCCTTTCCTAATTGCAATGAAAATTAATTAAAATAATAAAATTCCATAGAGAAATATACCTTTTACCTTTCCATCAGGCAATACGTTTAGATGTCGAAATGGACAAATAGTACAAAACAAAAAAATCGGAAAGTGCATATTGTTTTTTATGGGCCCATTTTTTCAGACGACGCCCGTTTGATCCACGTATTTTAAAATGCACCAGAGACATTATTACCTGAGAAATATTCAAAATCTTCTCAACTGAATCTGTGACATACAAGACCTGTCCACGATCACACTCGACAACGATTATAAATCCACCTGAGGCCTCCGTAATCAGGTTCCTTAAATCATCATCCGACATAAAACTTGGTTTATGATTTGTTTCTTTTGAAGGTTCTGTGGAGCCTGGCAATAGTTTCAAGAAACGATATTCATTGGAGTAATTAATAATACTGCGGTTGCCTTGCATTTATAACTGGCAAGTATTTACCATTTACCTTGCAAAGCTTTCATATGCTGAACAGCAAATCTCAAGACTGTCATTTTGTCCGGTTTTTTTCCTACTGAGGGTGGTAAGGGAATCATTGTTGATAAATCATTGATACACTGGTTCATTTTATTCCGACGTCGCCTCTCAATCTCACTGTGTGAATTTCTAAAAAACATAAAATATAGAAAAGTTTGTAGCTGTTAATGCCATAGATGTGTTAATTAATAAAACATTGGGTCATTGCTAATGCAATGTTTGTTTCTAATTCGTGAATGGTCGCTGACACAAATAGCCATTTGTTGCTCCAAACCAACAGGGAGTTGATCGGGTTGATCAGATCAACGAAAGTCTTGTCTATATTGATTATGCAGCACTAAATTGATACAACACCACACTTTTAATAAAATGACAGTAAATATATGATATAGTACTTAGACATACTTGAAATATATGATACAGTACTTAGACATATATGATACAGTACTTAGACAAATTTCCGTTACAACAAGCAACAAACGTATCTGAAAAAGCCGGAAAAAAGCGAGCCAATCACGTAGGAGAAATGTGATTAAATTTTGAGGGATGTGATTTTCCGTTCATTCCCGCGAAAAACAATAAATATTGTTGGCAATTTTTTTTCGGGAAAATGATCTTGCGTTGAATTTCTACAGAAATTCGAGTTTATTTTCGAAAACTCGAAAGGGAAAAGCATGAACCTACATTTTATGCATTGAATATACCTTTGCATTGAAAATTAAACTATTTGCACCGAAATATTTCAGCTTAGTTTCAAACAACGCCTTTCATGACAATATATACTAAAAATTTAGGGATTTGCTTTAGTAATTAGTAGTAATGGAAGTGAAATTCCATCATGCATATTTTTTCAAAGTTAATTAGCTAAAATCAATGCTGGAGAATAGAAATATCATAAACATTTCAAATATGTTCAAATTCATTCCCATTGTTTACTATATGAACCTATTATCATAGGTGAACTGTTGAATTTGTTTTTGTTGGGAGCAGCTAGGAGGGGGGCAAACATTGGAATTAAGGTATACATCAAAGCTAGCTATATTATATAATATTTTAGTATAAATTTCAAGGTGACTATTGATTTTCCTGCATTCTGATTGGTCAAAATTCACTGTTTCTGAAGTGATAGTCACTGGTCAGTCACTACAGCTTTTTGTTCTTGCTTTTCAAATTATGAGAAATTTGAAGTAATTATAATTTTTTATGAAATTGTGTTTATTCTTATTTGTAAACACCTGGGGCCGGTTGTTCAAAGCTAGGTTAGCGCTAACCTTGGGTTAAATTTTAATCTGTCGTTTTAGTTTACGTGCTTCTGCACTGCCGCTTAATTGTTTTAAAACTTTACAAAATATGATCTGTATTGAACCAAAACAAAATATGATCTCTATTGAACCAGAAAATACTCATGGTAAAAATATTCAACTTTCATGAACAAGCAATGAAAAAAATTGATGTAAGAATTTGCCTTAACCCTAGGTTAAGTTAACCAGCTTTTGAACAACTGGCCCCTAGAGGTTTATACTAAAACAATAAGTTGCCTCAGACTCAGTAATATAGACTTGTTTGATGACTTATTGTTAATTTAGAAATAGTAATGAACCATTTCAACCAAATTAACATTTCTTTGGTTGAAAAATTTGTCCACACAGGACTACAGTAGCCGAATCCATTGCTCTAATATTGCCAGTTACCTTAAGAGGAATTTTTTAGGATACTCTGAAACCTGAACAGCGACGAAACATTTATCATCTATCAGTAAAAATCTAAACCATGTGAGTATATCTTAAGAAAAATAATTATAAGTTAACTAAAATCTCTGGGGCAGCTGGGTCCCCTTGTAAGCACCCCATGTTTCATCCCCCATCTTATATTGTATTTTCATGTCCAAAAAATATACTTGCCAACCATTAATTGACATATATACTTCCCAAATTAGTCCCAAATGACAGTGATAAATGATAGAAAGAATGGTCAAAAACGTCTGACTTTAACGAACCCAGTAGCTAGCTTGGGTACAAAGGTTAACATGGCTTGCTTGATAAATAACAAACGCTACAGTATTAGGTATTTCATATGTACTAGCTGTACAATTATTATCAAATTGTAAACAAACACGCACATATTTAGTGTCAGAATGATACAATAAACAGCATAAATGACAAACTAACTTTTTCTCCACCTCCATTTTAGGCTCTGATGTCTCCGGAACGTTGTCTGAAAGAAAGATATTAAAATTGTTGTAAGACGAACGAATGAATCACAATGGAACATTCGAATACTACGCATCAACAAAATGTCGTACGATCTTTAGTGGTGATTTGCCCCTGTACGGAGGTTTCTTCAAAGCTTTCAGCAAATTCATTGCCCTAGAGGCTAGACCTGATAAATTACACACGTCCATGATCTTGTTCATGATTTTCTCCCATAAATACATCGACTTATATTGATTTTATTATATAATACCAGATTAGTTTGGCCGCAAGCTAGAACTACAAATGCAGCAATTTACCCTCATCTCCTGACATTGTCTGTATAACGATGTTATTCAAATATAATTTCCTCGAAAATGTTGTTACGGTAGTCAATAGTCATACTGTTGCTTGTAAACAGAAAATACGGTGTTTCGTACATCTTGTTTACTTGCCGAACTGAGGTCGACACCATTGAACTGTAAACAAACTGGAGTGTTCTCTCTGGGTCAATACACTTGAAAATTATCATTTATCACAAACAGCCTTAAATTCCTTAGACTTCCTTAAAATTCTCAAAATTCCTTAGGCATGAAGTACGATGAATTCATGCGGAGTAAGTATAATCGATGCAGAGCCGGACTAGTGTACCCACTTTTAGTGCGCATGCTCGGCAAGTGTCTAATATTAAAACTTTAAAAGAATTCATTTTAAGCGCATAAAATGCAATATAAATGTATTTCAAGCATCGAAAATGTGTTTGCCATTTTGAACATTTCACGTACTTGTTGGTTACTTTTGCATGCAGAGTTGGTCAGTTACTTTTCGCTCACGGACACCAATAACCGGGTACAAAAAGCACGCCATATTTAATCACGGTTAATTAAATTGATTTAATTACTATACGCCACTTAGTTCCAGCTTTGTATCTTCAGTTACTTACCCTTGTGATGGTTTATTAATAATGTACATCAGGAATGTACTTTTAGGAAATTTATAAATCCCCTCCATGGGGGAGGGCTTTCAATAAATGGATTTTGTGCGCTATAGATCAATTTGTCTAGGTGATAAAAAGGAAATTTTCGTAAAGAGTCTACTCAAAATTAGTAAATTGTTAACGGTTTGTCTGCGAATGTTGCTCTCCATTCTTTCATTGCCATTCCCAGCATTCTACAGGGGCCGGTTGTTTAGCTTAAACGGTGGATAAGTCAAAATTAAATAACACTCTTACATCCGTCTTTTGAATCAGTCAACTTCAATATTATGCACTGAATATGTAGTTGTAAACAGTATCTTTGCATAGGTTGAAATAATTTATTTCGGTTGTTAAATAAAACAATAGCATTGCTTTCCATTTTGAACTGAGAAACTACCAAGCCTGACTGACGAGCCTGGTGACTATTTACCATTTCCTGAGCAGGGTACTGGGTCTAGTCGCGAACCGCAAAGCAACTATAGACTGTTTGGAAGGCGGGAAATGTAAGTCTGAACTCTGAAATCATTTGCCCCTCCAAACAGTCCATAGATGCTTTGCGGTTTGCGACTAGACCCAGTACCCTGCTCGATTGGGAAATGGCTAATTTGTTTTAACGATAAATTTCGAGGTGTTTACAAATATAATTACTTCAAATTTCTTATTTGAAAAACAAGCTATACAGTTATAAAAACATGCGTGGGAGTTTGGGAGAACGAGAAATAATCAGTGGGAAAATGAACCAGTAGGGCGAGTTTTCCACGTTATTTCGAGTTCTCCCAAACTCCTATTCGGCTACTGAATACAGAAACAGATGATTAAATGTTTTCTATATTTCTTTTATAATATAAACTGGATAAAAAGCCGGATTTTGTACAAATGATTATAATTTGATTCAATTACAATTAAATCCTCATTACATTACTTCGCTTGTCAAGTTCGGCGGGAAAATCCCCGTGTTTCTAAATATAGAATCACGCTCGTAATATAAATGTTAAATTATAAAAACATTTTCAAACTGATCTATGCATGGCCTCACTCCTCACCATTGTTTTTCGCTTAAGCGCTTTTTGCCATCTCGTTACCAAAGATAAAAATATTCGCTCCCCTCCTTCTTCATTCTTCATTTAACTTCTCTATTGCAGTGGTGCAGGCGTTAAAATAAGAATTTTGGCACAATTTTTGCAGCAATTTTTCCTATTCACACCACACCAAACTACACTTGACACATGACACTATAACACATGACACTAACGACAACAACACGACTGGATTGAAAACAGAATGTTTGTTTACATAAACTACCATTTGGACATTATATTAATTAAACGAGTCTGAAAACAATTCTGGTTGTTTTTAAGCAATTTAAGCATTGCTGGAAATATTATATGCCTATTTTTAATTTGTATTTAGATTTTTAGACAAAACAAGAACCTTTTTATTCAACAATTAAATTTTGATTTTTCCTTTTTTGGGGAGAAAGCCCAATGCTGTTATTGTTTTTTATATAATTCGTCTCAATCTTCATGAATATGATTGCGTCCTCTCAGTTCCGTAAGTTATTCGGACATGAATTGATCGCAAGTTTTCTAATATTGGCCATAAGGCGGTTTCAGTCCACTAGCTAGGCTGAATTTTTTGATCGAACAGCCGCTTTTCGCTTGATTTTCTTAATTCAATTGTGACGGGTCAAGGGTCTACGGTCGAATTCTCAGAATTGAACTAAGAAGATCATGCAAGGAATTTCGTTCGATCGAAATCTTCCGCTTGGCGGAAAGCCGCCCTTATAGTCATGTCACAAACAAACGTCCAAAATTATATGTCTATACTGAGTTAATAAAACGCTACTCGCAAATAAATTCCGGGTAAACTTCGAACTTCAGTCACTTGCAAAAGGTTTTAAATAAATTATGATTTCGCAGTAAGATAAGGTGGAAACTTTGAAATTTTTCTGCTATAGCATTTAGTATGTCTTCTCAAGCATGCGACAGTAGATGATTTTTTTCATATGCCCCTACATCTAATACGGCTCATGCCAGAGGAGAATCCGAACTTTCATTTTCTGAGCATCAAAATGTGGTATAACAACTGCCAAAATTTGACAAAACACTTCTCGGCGTTTCGACCTGAGGGCCTTCGTCAGGAGTATTAAATTAACGTAGCATTAAATGCACTAAACACAAAGTTTTAATAAATTACACACGGATGTCTATAAGCATTAACTCTCCTACCCACGAGACTATATTCGCAATATCCCAGAATACAAATAACCAGAATTATAGGTATATGCCATACATATGCCGAAATATGCCGAAGTGGAAACGGCATGATGTAAATATATCAGTCTAGTATAACTAGCATGAATCGGCAGAAACATGCACGTGCCGAAGATTAACATTTTTACAATTACAAGATGTGGACTAAATTTGACAGACATTACAGGATCCACTGAAGATTCTGAACACCGTTATTTATACCCATTTCAGGTGAGAACTTGTTTAACACGATTATAAAGCTGTTAGTATAAGTTATTTATTCGGAATCCGGCTCGAAATTGACCTATTACAATCACTGGCAAAAATTGGCAAAAACTAGGGTCTGCCGAATGAATATGTCTATTCCACGGCATCAATTGAAAAGTAAAAGGATTACCTGTAAAATTTCACAGTCGGTGATGCTTTTTAGCAGCTGCACTGCTTGCTTTGTTTTCGTCTTCCTTGGACTGATTTTTATTCTCATTTCAATAATAACGGATTGCCGTGTTTTATCGTGTTGATCAAGTATTGTCCATATTGAACCTGATTGGTTGACTTGAAGAAGTTTATTATGATGTGAATAAAAAAAGTAATTCAGTACGATTACGTATACGCTTGCCAAATACACACAACTGACTTTTAGTCATTAAAACTTCAATGATTACGGATATCCGACTCACCTGTAAACACGAGGTTATCTGGGTCAGATTTTCGACGGTAAATAACCTGCGGGAAAAGATTGAAACATGTGCCTCCCAGTGATTGAATAAAACCGATTTTAATCTGATGATTTTAATATTAATCGCGGAAGCGCGCACATGTAAACGTGCATGTGTAAAAATGTGTTTTTTAAAGAAGATAATCGCGCTATAATATTAATTTCCAAGCTTGAAATTCTTGCTACGAATATTTTTTACTCTTTTACGTCCATTTTATGGGGAGCATTTCGAGTTAACAGTCTTAAACGCGTTAAGAAAAACAAACTTAATACAAACAGAATAATTGAAACTTTTTAGATTCTCATTCTTTTCCAATTGCCACTTAAGGTAGCGTATGGCCGGAAAAGCATGGGATATGCAGAAGAAATCGGATGTGTTCAGTTCGAACCATCATGCCTGTGCAATGCATATAAATGATATATGATGGCCTTAACTTCAGCTTCATAGATGACAGCCTGGCATGCAAGCCATGATAAACAGCCCGACGCGTTTACTGTCAAGCATCACAGACAGCTTCGTGCGAGCTGAGAAAAGAGTATTTTGACAAATATGGGAGTTTATCACAAGTTAACGTTCCATGAGTTATATTGGGTGTCCAGTGGATTTTCTTGACAGTATTTTTCATTACCTAATGGCGCTAGCCTATCCTTGATCATCACTATCATTGTTCTTATTTCTCATTGGTATGATGCATATGATATGACCTCCATATTTTGACCTTATAATGGCACACGCACCAAGGCCAAGGGCAGTTTCAACCTTTTGAACTTTCTGTTTTTGACTGCATATTTTGTCACTATTGCATTGTGCGGCATGCACAACATGGATTAAACTTTCATATTCTTAAATTGTGTATTCTTTTCTGTAATTGTCAGCTCAAAATCTGAGCCGGTTTCACTCACGGTTTTTGCAACCATTTTTACAATGGTTGACTGAAACAAGTACGATCGTACTATTGGACCAGGAACTGGTGAAGTATAGATTCAACTGATCTTTCTCTCCAGGATGAAATTTCAAATATCTATGAACCTAGGCAATCTTGCGAACGGTTATGTTAAAATTGTCGTTTTTCTACATATTCTCATCATTCTGTTTTCAATACAAAGACACTTAAAATGTACTGAGTTGCACATCTATGTCCTAATCTATGCCGCTGTAGCTGGCGAGAAGGTAGCGTTGCGTGCACCGTGCCACTGTCATTATAGTCGTTTTTTATGTACAGGGTGAGTAAAAAAAAACACCTTTGGAATTCAAATTAGCTGTGAACTTATGGCTGGAATATGACAATTCCCATATACAATCAACAAAAACGATTTGATAAAACTGTTCTTTTGTATTTACAGAGCTTAGAATGCATTTTAACTCCCAATGGGAACAAACTTTATGTTTTATGTAATTAATATGATATGCTTCGTATACCTATGAAATATTTTAGGCAACTTCTGTCACATTACAGCCGCTATCCAGCTAATTTGAATTTCAAAGGTGTCCGTTTTTTTTGACTCACCCTGTATATGTATGCTGGGCAAAGCCTAAACAAATAAATAAAAAATAAATAATGCCCTAGAGAGAAACGCATTTAACGCAATGGTCATAATATAGTCATGAATATACATTGTATATTGGGTACAAAACAAAGAAAATACACGACCTTCTGGCTTGAACTCACAGCATATGAATATTAATAATAATAAAATTTGCCTCCCGCCACAATCTGACATGGCTTGCAAATCTTCTGAAGAATATAAGCACAAACAATTTAACTCCGTAAGTCGATAGAGAATAACCTTTAACTAGATAGTTGTGTGAAGTTTTATCACGATCTTGTGCGAAATGACGGAGCCTTAGCCATTTGAACTTGCTTCAGTTATGCATACTAACTATTGAATATAATCTATACGGATTACTACGCTACAATTTTTAGTTGCTTCTAAATTTCTTTAAAATCAAAAAATCAAAATTATAACTCCGTCAATCGATGGGGAATATCGCTAAGGATAGTTGTGCGAAGTTTAATTGCGATCTGATGCGAATTGACGGAGCCTTAGACTTTTTTAAAGAGCGTCACCCCCTAACAACAACAACAACAACAACAACAACAACAACAACAAGATTAGCCGCGTGTGGGGACCAGTCCCTGGTCCAAAAATTACTTTCTGGTCGATTGCGCTGGCTTACGTAAAACGAATATGGTATATACTCGACCCTGGTCGAATATACCGGAATGTTGTATATCAAACATTGGCGAGGGGAAATATTCCGGAATATTTAAGGTTAGAGACTGTTGTGAGTGTTTTGTTGACAAATAAACGCACGCGCTGACCATACAATGAACGAGAAATTTCAATATTGCACGAGGCCGTAGGCCGAGTGCAATATTGACATTTCGAGTTCATTGTATGGTCAGCAAGTGCGTTTATTTGTAAACAAAACACGAACATAAAGTCTCTAACACTTTTAATATACAATCTGAGTTCATTGATTGCTGCATTGAAGATTTAAGCTTCGCTGCAGGCTGTCATTTTTGAATAAACCACGATTTTCATGGGTTATTGCGAATAAACCACGATTTTCGTGGGTTATTGCGAATAAACCACGATTTTCATGATCTGTCGCCAGGCAACAAGAAACCACGTGATTGATTTTGACCAATCGCGTGAGTAGATTTAGGCCAATGCACGAAGATTGTATATTAAAGTGTATTTGACCATGGTAAGGTCCGAATAGCAAGGTTCATTCGATCATGGTCGAATATACCGGAACATAGTATATTCGACCTCACCAAGGTGGAATGTTTAACAATTATAGACAACGAAGGCGAGTTGTCTAATTGTTTTAGTATGCACCCTGTACCTAGAGTATATTAATTTCGATAAAATAATCGATAAACCGCAATTACACCGAAAAGTAATTTAATTAATTCAATTTTATAATGTCGCGCGAGCAAATTTTATGTTCGAGTGGCAACTTGACACGAGAAGATAAAATCCATATCTTTGAGCGAACCGTGTAATCTTCTTTTTATTACATGGACTAAAATCAGAGTGACAAAAATACATACAAAGACGACAAGTAAGACGCTGCGATTGACTAATATAAAAGCGAATATTTTTTAAAATATAGCCTAAACTTTAAAGTTGAATAAATTTTACTCATCCAAAGATGTCTTTTAAGTGTTTTAACTTGTATTTCCACCGTTAATTTCGTTTTATATACGAACCAAACTTTTTCATTTTCACAACAACAACAATTGAAATAGCGGGAAATTTTTTGAAACTCGTTATCAGTGTCACTCGAACGTGACATATTCGAATGTGACATACGGAGGTCAAATATACCAACCGCACTCGACCATGGTCGAAAAAACCATCTTTCGGTGCACTTGACATAACCTTAAATTCGGAATATACCGGAAAATGGTATATACTCGACCATGGTCGATTCATCGAATATACCATAGTCTGCTATATTTCGAATTTAAAGTTAGAGGCTGAGTGGTGAGATATAATTATAAATTTCACAATTCAGTTAGTACTTTTGAATATTTTCCTTTCTATCAGTAAATCGAGGCAGATGCGTTTGAGCGATTTTGCCTTTGTCAACTGAAGTGTTAAAGAGCGTAGCCAGAAAACAACAAAAGCTGTTTCGCAGCTAGTGTTTCACACTGAACGCTTTTTAGCAGGCATGCATAAAGCAAAAAAAAGCGGAATAGACTCAAGGCAACAAAAAATTGCGTTGACATATTATGCATGCATTTTGACGAGTCACTTAATACATTCAAATTTTCATAATTTATTTATAACGACTTCCTTTGCCTATGCCGCTCTATGGAGTCAATTTAATGTTGCTTCGTAAGAGATCGTTAAATAAAATTGCAGGTTTGGTCTTACAGTTATAAACAACAACCACCGAATTTATGTCCTGCCAGGACATAAATTACACACTTAAAGATGGTGGCTTTTGGCGCTGAATAAATGCCGAACTGAGTTGCTTTCCTAAACTTTCAACATGCATGAACACGTTATGTGCACTGCCATCGGAACAGGTCCGAAAGGTATTACCCTACATCGGCAATAAGCCCGGTTTTAATATCTGAGACCTGAATAAATACACCAACATTTTCGATTATCTCTATAACGGCAAACGAAAAAGTCGTTACAATGCCTATACGTATAAACGTTTTCATGCTTGAATATGTTCGGTGACGTATGACGTTATCACGCACGCATGAATACACTGGTGATGCCTTTGCTGTGACCGCACAATTGAGAAACTTGTTATAACGTCAACAGTCGGGTGAGTGAATATACCGACAGCTGCGTGTGTGCATGTGCCGCAAAACGTCGCAAACACGACAAACACAAGCACGCAACTGATATTTTTTGCTTGGAGCGAGAGAGAAGAAGCATCGTAGATGAGTCATTGCGAAGCTGTATTACCGTATTACCCAGAAACCCAGTAGCACAGATGCTGTCAAATAATGAGGGTAATTAATTTTGTGGTAGTTTTAAATCATGTATCATGACAGTTTGTACAGACTTCGGGCAAATGAACAACCTAAATAAAGAAATTTCCACGCTTCGATCGAACAGAACGCTTGGAAGGGTCGGGTCATCCAATATCAAAAAAATCATCGAAGTTTTCTTTGTTTTTTTAAAAGACGCTTATATGATTATGTAGTTTTCTTCAAGCTATCTTAAAAATCTATACACTTGCAACTCTGTTGTAAATTAATAGTGCAATGTGTGCTGGATGTATCCAAGTCGAAAGTGCCTATAGATGATCAATGCGAGTCTAGCAAATGATGCATTTAATTAAAATAACTTTTTTAACTTTCAGACGGCAAAGTTGGACTGGAGATCTCAAGGCCGCAACTGGGGGTGGCAAAGAAGTGAGTCGTTATTTGTACTGTGTATTATTTCACCAGACTCAGAGATTGTATTTGTTGACATATCAATTAATATAATTATGCATGCCACCATGAATTCGCCTGGTAGGACAAGTATGTGGTTATGAAGGGTGTATGTGCGGTGGAACATTCTTGGTCATAATCTGGAGGTGTTTATATACAGGCAATCCAGCAAATTAAGGCCCTATCTTGTAATTTAGTAATACCTACACCTTTTTCATGCGAATTTGGCCGGCTAACGCTGCAAGCTGAGACCATGCTTCGAAACACTGTTTTAATAATGTTCTCCGCATATCGAGAGCTAAAAATGTACAATCATCCGTTTAAGCGAATTTAGGCGTCCTTTAGACGTCGAACCACTGAGCTATATAATAATTCCTGGAGGACCGGCTCCTGTCAAAAAAGTGAAGCCACTAAGATGGCGGATTTTGAGCTTTGCTGACGCCACATGGTTCCTTTTGCTCATGGTAGTTACCACTGACATACCGCGATACAAGGTGAAAAACTGTGTGCATCACCCTCCCGATTTTTATGAAAATATTTTCAGCTTTCCGTATATATTCTTTTGTTTTTCATATAAAAAGGATAAAAGTGTTTCTCTTTTTCCCTGTTCAACAAATGGAAAGGACACGTAGCTTCGTGCTCTGCGTCTGACGTTGTGAATTCACCTATCGGTAGAGTGAATTTTCTCATTTTGCTCTTATTTTATCTTTTTTAACATCCAGGTAAGCCGTTTTTCAACTTTTTTTACTATAAATTTTTTGGCCTTTCGAGTTTGGACTATAGTATAAACTGATTACCAAAGCCTCTGAGACAATAAATCCATCAAAACGTGTGGTACAAGCAGCAAAGATACTACACTGTTAATTTGAAGGTGTTAAATTAGCACCAAAAAAGGTGTTGAATGAATATGGCAAAAATAACACCTGTAGAGGTGCTATTTTAACACCATGACCTGGGTGCTAAATTAACTCCAATCCCTGGTGCTAAATCAACGCCCATTCTGGTGTCAGAATAACACCTTTGGGTGTTTAAATAGCACTACATTTGGTGTTAAAGCAGCACCTTTTTACCTACTGCAATTTAATGTGCAGTTCTTACATCAGTAATCATATCTAAATCAAAATTAATGACACTTATACAAGGAAACAAAAAATCAATATATTTGGTCACAGTTGCATATTTACAATTGCTCCTGCAGGACTATTTACAAAAAACAACCAGACTAATATTTACAATTTTCGACAATCAATGTCAAGTTCTTATAATGCAACATTACAATTTTCGACAAGCAATGTCAAGTTCGTATAAATTTATCCACAAAAACTCACTTCCCAGCATGTTCTTCCATGGCCATTTTTTATTATTTGTATGTCCTCATCTGTATATGGAGTCATCAACCCTAAGATAAATTTATCAATAATCATTAGTATTATTAGCAAGTCAAATCAGCCCACAAGGTTTCTTAACATAAAGAGGAGAGATTCTCCTTCAGTTAGACCTAAAGCAACCACAAGCTATCCTCAGAATGTCTGTTTTGAAAAACAAATTGTTTATCAAATATCAATAGCAGAAAATCTAGTTAGGTTACCAAAACTATAATAGGCACACTAAGCATTGGATAAAGACAGTCTAAATTGCAGATTGTGGGGCAATAAACTACAGGTGACATTGTAATTTTGTCTTTGGGAAAATTATGGTATATTAATTGCATGATTTACCTGATTCTCTGTGCAGCTAATCTTGTTTCTTGTTTCTATCCTGTTCGAAAGAACCAATACATAATTCTTGGCCCAATTTTTGGCATTCCTGATTGAAATTTGCCAGCCATACCATGGACCAATTTGTTCTTGCACATTTCACTTCCAAATTCTGCCTTTACCTGCAACAAAATAATGGAATGTGTTCAGTTGCAAACCTTACTTGCAAAAGAAAATGATTTTACTAAATTATGGAAACATACTTTGTTATTTGACTAAAATATAAATGTGAATTTGAAAAATGACAGGCTAAATGGGACTCTCAGGTAACCTGTAGGAGATTATATTTCTTACAGTAATAATTTTATCAAAAGACATACACAGGCATTGATTTTAAACAAATAACTTGCCCTCTAACATCAAATTTATCAAAATAGAGTAAGGATTATCGTTAATATATGAAAATAGAGCGCGGACAATCGTTGATATAGGATAAAATATCGCTAAATTATGTCAATAATATAAGAGACAAGCGAAGACGCGTCATAAAATTACGGTAAAGTAAATATGAATAGATACCTATTATTGCAATGATATTTTCTTTGACCACAGCTTGCTGAAGAGATCGCAGTAAAGTAGAATACGTCATTTGGCTTCTCTAGAATAAAAAAATAGCACACATTTGTTTGTTTGGCGATTTGGCCGTTTGACTTGAGCGAACATGGATACTGTATATGTCTGTATTTGATCAAATTCAAACACTTACGAAGATATTTCTGAGATAATACCACAACCAATTGCCTTGAAATTTCCTTATGGGAGTCCGTTGTTGTTCAGGATATTTAGAAGTACAAAAATAGTTGAGTAAATACGCTCATAACGTCTTTAACACAGCAGCATAAACATCTCAATGAATATACGATTCAGAAGAGTTTTCAAACGACGCGCTCAAAAAATTTGCATGCAAGCGCCTACACGTGTCATATTTCGTTCCTTATATGGACATACATAGTATGCCTATACGCGATTGCGAAATATTTACTTTGTAGCAATCACTACATAGCACAAAATAACATAGTTTGATAAAATAAAAAGGACAATGGATCACTATCGATGTATCTCGGGGTTTTTTTTATATAGAAACGTATCTGACGTATTCATAGCAACAAGCCGAATTTCCATGTCGTCTTTTAGATAAATAGTTGTGCGAAAACGCACGGGAATTCTTTGTTCCAAAATCATCTCATTCAAAAATACAAATTTATTTTCCAATAACTTAAAAAAAACAAACATGCTCTTTCCTGGCCTATCCGCCATTTGGTGTTATTTTGACACCCCATATTTAACTCCCTATATGGCGTTATTTTAACACTTTCCGTCGGCAAAAGAGGTGTCATTTTGGCACCTAACAATGGTGCTGGTAATATGGTGTCACATTGACACTTTTAGCGTAATCCCAGATTTGGTGGTGTTAAATTAGCACCGAAGTTGGTGCCAAAATAGCACTTTCTATTTAACACCACCGCATGGTGTTGATTTGGCACCTACGGTGGTGCTATTTTAACACTTCAAAATTAACAGTGTATTTTCGCCTTTTGGTACATTACAGTGCTGTCAGTGCAATGTTATATACCCAAATTTTATCATTTTTTCTTAACTTGTGTGGGGAAAAAATTAAATTCCTGGCACTGTCAATCTTTTGAGTTTGGTCTATGTTGTTTTCATGATAGCAAATATCAATGTTAATAGGTTAACCATTTCCCCAGTGAGTCTACTATAGTCACACTTCTATTGATGCCACCCAACATCAATTAACATGATCTGAGGGTGCTGATACAGAATGATAAGATGCTGTAAACAGTGTAAATTAATTCCACCCTCTGATAGTGAGCCCTATTAAAGCCTAGTTAATATATTATCTTTTTTACCTTGTCAAATCCAAAGTGAAATGATCAATTATCACAGCTTTTAATTTATTTTTTAGCTTCTTGCACCTTGTGAATAAATCTTGATCATATCTCCATTTTTATTTTTCAGGATGAAGTTCATGCATTTTATGACTGTGCATTGTTATTCTTCATTACCATGTTATCTGATTTTGTTGTTTGCTGGTGTTTTTATACCATTTGTCATATTTATTAATGAATGAAATAAAAATAAACATGCATTGACTGAGCAGTGTGTTTTCAATGTGCAGCAACTTTTATAACTTTCTGTTTATGGTATCAACCTCCAAGATGGCTATATTCATTAGGCTAATCAGTGGAGCCTATGGAGGGATAAATGTTATTCTTTACTATGACCAGGGGTCCAGGGATGCAATTAGAGAATGCTGAAAACTTTTATAGCCTATAAAGGTACAAGTTAATGACTTGAATGAAAAGTATATTATGCAAATATGATTCTTGGTTGAAGCTATATTCCTGCACTTAGTATTAGTCAGCTGCCCAGCATTTTGCCTGAACTTTGGATTTTGTATTGTGCATAGATATAAAGTCTTGAAGACAACATCAGATACTAAATACTGATTACATACTTCCTACAATTCATCAGTTAAGTTTAGGGTTTAGAAAGTCAAATTTGTTGCCCATAAATTCCTAGTTGTCTTCAAAATATGCGAGGATAGTGCCAAAACATTCAAACATTTGTAAACTTTCATGTTGGAAAGTATAAATAACAAAATTATTATTACGAAAATAAAATAATAAACCTGTCAGTTCGTGTCAGTATTTAAAATCTTTAGTTTGTCCACATTTTTCCATATTTTAATATATATTTGTTCCCGCACTGGCAAAAACAGCGTGTATGACTTGTATTCATCTTAAAATAAAACTTTATTGTATGTCAGGGCGAAAAATATCAAAAAAACAACCTAAAAACATTTCAAAAACAAAAATATTTCATGATCACGGCAAAAAAATATAAAAACCAGGGGGGAGAATTGTTATTTACAAAATCCAGGGGGGAGAATGCTGCTGTAGCGGGCTCAGAATTGAGCCTGGTCAGTGGTAAATACCATGGTCAAAAGGAACCATGTGGCGTCAGCAGAGCTTCTGCGGTTGCGCAGAAGGGTGAAATCCGCCATGTTGGTGGCTTCAAAAAGATGGCGGCGAAGTTACCGAAAAATGACGAGCCGGTCCTCCAGGAATTATTATATAGCTCAGTGCGTCGAACTTTTACATACATGAGCATTGTGTCATTGGTCGCGTAGCGACAGCGACCTATAGTTTCGGCTTGGTTATTTTTATTTTTATTATTATTATTTTCCTCTCGGGTCGACCCCCAGCGGCTAGCTGCAGCCATATCACCCTAATCGGGGACCTGCGCACAGGTAAGTTGCTATAGGCTACGGTTAACCAATGCTCCTATCATTAGCTCTATTATAATATCACGTGGTGTATTCACTTTGGGCATATTTCGTTTCACCTTCGAAGCAATATAGAAGAATCAAGAAATCGGTCAAAATGCTAGCAAGTGCTATCCTCATCTTTACGCTCATTACAATTTACAAATACCTGCACACTCCGAGCACACAAAGTCTACACTAAAAGATGTCGAGCGCTTTCGAGATGGGCTGTTCTGCATTGTCTCTCCTGGTTTCAACATTTATGTTCAACCAAAGTTGATTATCTTGAATTCGCTGAATACTCTGATCAAACTGAATAAAATCACATACAATCTCACGAGATCTCACTAGTATCACCCCGAAGGTCGTGGGTTCAATTCCCAGCCGGGTCAAGTCAAGTAGAGTTTTTTCTTAGACTCTTTATTGCCCGGTATGCTTTGGACGTCACTATGAGTAGCATTTACCACCAATCTCGTATTGTGTTCCTCTATTTATCAATAAAGACCATGATTCATGCGATGTGTTCATGTAAAAGTAAAACTTAATTCATAAGTTCGAAAACGCCAACACTTCTATATAAGTCAGTCAACAAGACCTCGTGCAGACCAGGTCATACTTAATTTCTGTATGACGCGACCTTAACGTCTAGCAGGGTCTTGTTAACTGTGTTAACATTAAGTTCGGCACATGAAAAGTTCGACGTCAAACCAAGCCTTACAAGCTTATTACGTTTCCTGTGCGGTTTTTAAAAAAAGACAGTTTGACGTCACCACCGCTATATATTTAGTAACTCTTCAAAAAGTGTCAATCAGAGTCTAAAGACTAAAATAATCTCAGACAGGAGATTATGTCATTGCACAGCGCACTCTTAGCTGAGAAAACGACATCGTCGCACTGTTGCTTCATTTTAAGGGATTTTTTATCCGTACTCTCTTTGTCTTCCAAATCGCATGATTCTGAATGATATAATTATTATGCATATAGATTAATTACCTACTCTGTGATTAGCGCAGCGCCACGTCAATTGCGCTCGAATTGCGTTATGGCCTTGCCGCAACGTACAGGGGCTTGGGGCCAGTTGTATAAAAGACTAGTTAACTTTTAACCGTAGCTAAGGACAGAAAGTGTGTATAATTCCACTCGAAATTAAGACCCTGTATGTATGTATATGTATAGTTAAAGAGTTTTATACAACAAGGACATTATTATACTGACTAAACGTATTAATATCAGTAATTACAAATCGTCGTCCCTATTCTGTGCTCTAAAAATGAAAATCTTGCACTGTGGTTGTTAAATTCGAAATCATTTTTCATCACCGGTTTCAAAGTGCCTTGCAAAGTTACTTGTGGGAAAATTTTAAATGGACCGACAAAGCTGAAGTTGATTCCACTAATGGTCGTCCTTACAGTAATCATTTTAGCACTGCCAAGTGTAATTACAATGTCTTAATGAAAATGGCCTTACGATATTCACCCTCATTGACTTCTTATTTGTTTGTGGCTGTCCTTCGGCGCCAAATCTCTCCGCGAGGAGTTAAGTTCGTTAAAATGATATGTTGAGTTCTAAGAATATGTTCTTTGACCGTAATCATACATAACCGCAAAGATGCATTATTTTAGCCATCGATACGGTATTTCCTCCGCATGATTTAAAGGATAATGTAAAGTGAAACTTGAAAAAAAAACTAAAACACTTCAGTGGGGTAATGAGCCTAGGAGGCTTAGTCAATTAGAATTAAAGATGAAAATTAGGTTGAGCAGACATGCATGCAATATTTGCATGGGTCGATTATCAATTGTATGCGTGAATAATTATGGTCCGTTAAATAATAGAAAAATAAAGTTGACGAGTTATTTTACAACAGATATGAAAATAATTTTTCACTATAATGAACTTCTACATGGGAGCCTAATTCTGCCTCAAACGTCAAACGACGAGCAACAAAAAGTGCATCAAAGCCTCAAAGAAAAAACTGATAACAAAAGAAATCAATGAAGAACCATGCAATGTATCCACTGATGAAAAATTTTCAATATTGAATGTCCTCACATGCATGTGATGTTTACCATCCGTCGCCAGAATTTTCGGATCTAGAGGCAGAGCGTTCAAGTAAACTAATCCATGAGTCATTGAACAGACACATGGTTATTGATATTATTATTGTAATTTCGATATGTGAAAATGTAACATAAGATATATGTGTCTTTATCTTGTGACTGAATGAAGGTTTATAAATTGAATAATAATTACCACAATTAAGCATGTTTTGTTATATAAAACACTTGATAAAACTTTCCCATCTTTTAACATATAAAAATGTCAAATATCAGTCATATTTGTCAGATATACAATATCAAAAACCTTAAAACTAATAACAGCGAATTTAAAAATCTTTTTTGCCAAATCACTGAACAGCCAAGCAAGTACTTTTCGATATTTCTAACGGTAATCATGCACCGACCTTGATGTTTTCATCGCCTTCTGAAACAAAAAGCGCAGTGGACGTCAACAATCTCAACAGTTAAGAAACAGTGATGAGTTATGCAAATGATGAAAAGAAACAGCGTGACCAAAAGTAACACTTGGGGCCAGTTGTTCAAAGCTGGGTTAGCGCTAACCCTGAAATAAATTTTGATCCACTGTTTTGGTTTAAGTGCTTCTGAACCGCTGTTCATTTTAAAACTGACATTTATAAAACATGGCTTTTGTTGGTCCAGAAAATAGTTATGGAAAAGATATTCAACTTTTTAAGCAAGCGATTAAAAATATTGTTGTAAACGTTTAATTGTTAAGACGGAGTTAAGCTAACCGGCATTTGCATGAACAACCGGACCCAGATTTCTAGGGCATTATTATTCATCCAGCAATCTTTCTCTTGCAAAGGACATTATTTTGTTTACAAAATTAATTACACAAGTGCGGTTGACTAATTTTCAGTGGCCAAGCCTGACAATTCTTTAGAAGTTTATTGTTTCCAGGCAATTCTTTAGAAATTCATTGTTTTCACAGCCAATGAACACCAAAATATTTGCATAGCATGACTATAGATGCTACACTGAGTCACCAACCGGGTAAGCTAAAAAATTAGCTTGAATTTCCCGCTGTGGTAATTGGTAAAGCTAATTTTTCAGCTTACAAGGTTGGTGACTCATTGTAACATTTTCACAATTTCGTCTTTGTGCCGGTTACCAAACTGGCAGTACATTGGAATTTAGCGCTTGAAAAGCGAGTGTAAAGCGAAGAGAATTGTTAAAAGAATAGATAAACAAAGGCGTTGCGAAGCAAAGGGTGTTGATTTCCGTCACTCGTCAGGTGTTAAATTAGCTCCAGGGAAAGAACAGCGTAGTTGAGCGTTGTCATGCTGCTCAAGTTGTGCACTTCAAGAACGAATTACCATAACAACGTAAAAAACTTATAGGGTGCCCCTTTACCAGATTAAACACAAGCATTCGGCATATATCTTTTGTCTTCCCTATAACAGATATATCGAATGATCTGACGTCTTCATGACCATTTCAAAACCGTTTCCGCGTATTTCCGCTTAAAACAAGAAGGGGTATTAATTTATAACAAACGAATTGATTATGCCCCGAAGGGTTATGCAACGAAACATTTATAAAACGATAATAATATATGGCAGGTAAACTCTTAGAAAAGATTTTGGTCGATCATTTCCTTCCCTCTTCAACTTTCCTAATAATATTGCAAATAACACATTTATGACACCACTCTGCATAATAAACAAATCTCCCCAATCCTGGGGTGAGAAAGAGAATGCAGACTAGTCTTCATATAATTTATTATGATTAGGGACCTAATCAAACATAGACTTAATCTTAACCCTAATCAAACATAGACCAAATTCTAACCCTAATCAAACATAGACCTAAATCACCTAATCCTAACCCTAATCAAACATAGACTTAATCTTAACCCTAATCAAACATAGACCAAATTCTAACCCTAATCAAACATAGACCTAAATCACCTAATCCTAACCCTAATCAAACATAGACCTAATCCTAAACGTAATCCCAAACGAATCCCAAGGAGTAAATTCGTGAATTAAAAATTTATTGAACATGGAATTATTTGTGTTTCGCCATCCAAATCTATTTTCTACAACGATGGTTAGTCCAATTCCATTTGGGTTCAAAGAGCTTCGATATCTATTTTAAACTATATGGTACTTCTTCAGTTCTAGAAATTCCCATAATGATATTATGAAAAGACTTCGGAATAAAATGAACCAGTCCATCAATGACTTATCAACAATGATCCCCTTACCACCCTCAGCTGGGAGTAGAAGACCTGACCAAATAACGGTGCTGAGCTCTGCAGTCCAGCATATGAAATTTTTGCAAGGTAAGCAAAACGCAATACTCGACGCTGCAAGCCTGTTGTTGTGTTGAATATCCAAACACATATGATTAATACCTTTACAATGTCTAATTTATTGCCATGATACTCTCCTCAGGCTCCACAGAACTTTCAAAAGAAACAAACCATAAACCAAGTTTTATGTCGGATGATGATTTAAGGAACCTGATTACGGAGGCCTCAGGTGGATTTATAATCGTTGTTGAGTGTGAACGTGGACAGGTCTTGTATGTCACAGATTCAGTTGAGAAGATTTTGAATATTTCTCAGGTATATTGTTTTATAATGCAACATGCATTATCCCACGAATGATTCAAAATGGTGGCTCTAAAGAGCAACGTATAGGATAAGTGATGATAACTTATACATTTGACTGTAATCGCTGGTGTGTGGTTCGCACAAATGCGACGTAACAACTTCTTAAAATAGACAACCGAAAACACCTTTCGATTTCACTTAACTTCTTCGCCAGAAGCGTTGTATGAAGTGCAATTACTTACTGAAAGCATTCAGGTCGACACGTCAAGACGACTGCTACCTATTTCAAGCAGTTGTTATATCCACTGACCTATACTAGATGGACTGAGCGCGCGACCTATTTAATCAGGAGCTAGATGGGACCACTGTTGCCACGTCGAATAGGTCCTTATTTTGCTCTCTTGTGTTAATTTGCTGATCGGAAATAGCTGGCTCGTAATTCGGATTCGGAGTGAGTGATATTAAAAGTTAATTAAATATATGATATAAACTTTAAGTTCGTTTTCTTAAATGTTATATTATTCTTACTTAGAGTATTTTCTTTTTCTGGTCTAAACTTGTTTAACCTGACAAGCGATTTCGGTCGAAACATTTGTGCTGTTGATAAATATAAATTCGAGACGAAAATGATGAAACAAAAAAAAAAGAAAATGAAAATTTACTTAATTTTTAAAAAGGAATATATACAATGACAATAACTGCAGAGGGCCTAGCTTTATGCTTTTTAAATATCCAGGAGATGCTCATGTCAACAACGTATTGAAAGTATAAATGTAACAACAGTCCAAGTTTTAATGCTCTCTCATGGAAAACTCTGCCAATTGACAAACTAGAATACTTCACAAAAATTAAATAATTATAATGTACAATAGAAATATGTAAGCATTTTAAAAGTCAATATTGGGTACAATAATTTGTTAATTTACGTACGTGTACTGTACTTGTTCACATTTTTTCACATTTTTTATGTAATAAAACTTGTTAAAACATTGTATTTCCATATCTGAGGTAATATCGTTCTTTCTTACGAATTCAAATCGTCAAAAACACCACAAATTTGCACAAGATACTCACTAAAAACGTTTTTCAAAAATATATAAGCCTGCCCACAAACATAAACAAATATCAGGTAATTTTCATCGACTCGAGGACCTATAGATATCACGTGAGCAACGGTGGGGACACATGCATTTAGGCCTCGATCGAGCGCTCAGTCCATTTAATATAGGTCAGTAGTCATATCACGTTCGCATTGTCGCTGTGGATTCATAATACAACTGTTTATTATAATTGATACTTCTAGGCTGATATGGTTGGTCTCGACTTTTATGAACTAGTTCACGATGAAGACGTTGCTATGGTGAGGACTCACATATCTACAGCGGTGTCAGAGAGCAAAGATAGAGAGACTGAAGTGAAGAAATCAGACGTATTTGAAGAAAGCATTAGGAATGCTGCAAATTTATGCCCAGGAGCTAAACGATCATTCCTCTGCCGTATGAAAAAAGTGGCTAACGCTGAAGATATAAAAAATATGGGGACAAAAACAACCATTTGGAGGACAAAGAAATATGTATTCGTAGATGACAATGATCCTATTTTAAGTAAGATTCATAGCCTTTCCTACAATAGATCGATTACAATGATAGTTCTGGAAATGGTTGCATGAGGTCTTGTTTCCTATTTTTCTCATTTGCATGTTATGAAAATGCAATGACTCTGACAATAACGTCACGGAAAGTCTAATGTTACATGAAGTTTCAGTGGCTCTTTTGTTTGCAGAACCAATCAAACTTCGTGTAACATCAGATGTTCCGCATTTGACGTCATTATGAGAAAGGTCAATACTACCTTCTGCACGCACCATTCATTGCAGATCGGGAGAAAAACTCAGGATACTACTATTCTCGAGACTATTACCTGTGTGACAATATTTGCAAAAAGGTTTGAACCACAGCACTGTAAACATTGCACGCACTTCCGACTTTTTGTTTAGAAAAATCATGAAAAATTAGCTGATCATTTCCGATGTTCTTTCTAGTTTCATATGAAGGCTTTTTAAAATCATGGCCACCAAATGAGGTGAAATCAAGCAATTATCCCAACTCTCGCAGTTGTCTTGTCGCTGTCGGTCGTATTCTTGAGATAGATACCGAGGAAACAGACTACAGCAAGCTTGGACAGATTCGCGAGTTTGAAACAAGACAGCGAGCCGACGCCACATTTGTTCGTGTCGATCAAAAGTAAGTAGCAGTCTTGCATTTCTGGATCACATTGGCCCGATTTACACTAGCGACGGATTATCCCTCTGGACGAATGATCCAACTGACAGTTTATTCGTCTGAGTATGAACACAAGACAAACTATCTATTGACGAATTATGTAGACGAATATGTCAGAATCGCACGCTTATAGAAAGTGCACGGAAATATTGACAAGAGCCGTTTTATGATGAATTTTCCACAGTTCGTCCCAACCACGTATTTATACTAACAGATGGTTGATGCGTCAAGACGTTACTACCCATGGCATCTACCCATTCATATTCGTCTAAATAGACGAAATAATATTATATGGGGATAATCCGTGTTTACCCAAAGAAGAACTAGAAGACGAGCTATATTTTGCTTGCACAAGTTCGTCTAGACGGACGATCCGTCTCTAGTATAAATCAAGCCGTTATTTTCAATACCATTTCTAATTAAAGTACTGGTTGGTCAGCTATTGCCTTTTTTAATTTAGCTTCACGAAGATATTTGGTTATTGTTCAGACGAAGTGATAGGAAAGTCAGCTTACAGTTTCCTTCATAAAGATGACCTTAGAATTGTTGCTGAAGCTCATCACAAGGCTTTTACCGACAAGGGTACGACGCGGCTGAAGATAATAAATAGATTCCGCGCGAAGGCTGGGCACTATGTCCCAGTGAAAACCACTTCAGTTGTGTTTCGCAATCCTTATTCGAAAGAAGTTGACTTTGTCGCCACACGGAATGTCATTATGAGGTTGGTGGAAAGCCCGTGGAATATGCTTTGTTATTAGCAGTACTAAACTTGGAAGAGAAATACACTGAACTATCCAACATGCACTCCTATTTTTCCCACAAAGACGCAATTTCAAGTAGCGAATTATGCCACCGTTCAAATCTTACAAGGAGTAGCACTCAATGTCAATTTCAAAAGATCACGGAAAGTTTTATCCGATAATTATTTATATATAGGAGAGTGGGTCATTGAGATGCGTCGGATAAAAATTCACGCCAACATTCTATTTGTTGCCGTTGCACGCACCTGTTTATTTGCTTTGTTGGCAATTTCTATGTAAACTATTACTTAATGCGTAGACACTGACCCTGTATGACTGTATCAGACGCACAATTGCATTTCGACAAGAGCCAATTCGAATCGCTCATAATTATAGGTGTTTTATTTATTTTGATATAGTTCAGTTCCACCAAATTTGGGAACTAGTGGTAAGCAAAGCGGAACAAACACCCTGGTAAGAAATAACAGCAAGTTATTATGTCAATCAATTGCACACGATATAGTGAACAACGGTTGCAGTCAATTGTTCGAACTTATTTCTTTTCTGTTATAATTCTTGTTCTTGTTCGTTATAATGATTGTTTTTCAGACAACGCCTGTCGTGACAAAATTTTCAGACAAGCCACGAAGGAAACGTGACCTAGAAAGAGATTCACAGATGTTTGACAATCCTGGTGATGATAGTGATATTGGTTTTATAGTACAAACGAAACAAGCTAAGAAAGTGGGACAACCACTGAGAATGTAAGTGTGGGTTACGATTGTTTGGTAATATAATCATTAAAAGTATTTGCTGGTTCTGTTATGACTTCAAAAGAAATGTTAACTGATGATCTTCGGCTCTTCTTGATGCTTATTAGCGAATTAACGATTTTCGGCTTACCTTAAGGCTTCAAATTGTTGATCCTTGACTCTTCACGAGACTTTAAACTGACGACTTTCAGATCTTTAAGAAGACTGAGGGAAAATCTAGGCTTTTTTCGGAGCTTTAAATAGGTTGATGATTTGCGCCTCTTTTCGAGGCTTACAGTTGTTAATTTCGAGTGGTTTCATAAGCATATGATCTTTTACTTCTTTCGGACACCTCTAACCTGATGATCTTCGACTCTCCACAAGGCATAGCATGAAAAGCTACATGAGGACCTTGGACGTTTCTCGAGCCTTCGAAAGGTAATGGTATGCGGTTTTCAAGAGGCTTTAAAAAACAAATGATGTTAAGCGCGTTTTGAAAATCTTATTAAATTTCTAGAGTGCATGGCTTTAAGATAAATTTCCCTCTTCTCCCTTTGATAAATTTCCTTTATCAACTAATTAGTCCTGGTCAATAATTCTGTTTTGAGATTTTGCAGTGTTTATTTTCAGTGTTCTGGGAATAAAACCCAGAGGCCAGTGAATTTCGTAAGTATTTGCACGAAGTTTGCAGTGACCTACAGATTAAAATCCCTTGAGAGTGATAGCTACTACAGCCGCTCTTTTACTATATTTTGCCTGATTAATCTGTGTATGTTGCATGTCCTACCATGCAATACCTGAAAGTCCAATTTACGAAAGCACGTCTAAAATCTGACCATGAGCACCATATCGTTTGTATGGCTCGGTCTTACAGCGAGTGTAAAACGTGACCGCAAGCATATAGCAAGAGTCTGGGAACGAGTACAAATGCAAATCAAAAGGATATCTCTCCAGAGACTTTAATCTAGGAAGTTTTTGCAAATCATTCCATCGGTGTACACTATGTCCCCGAAAGCCAATCGGGTCCGCCGGCCTCCCGAAAGATGTACACATGCAAAAAAGCCGGCATCTGCCCCCCCCCCCCACGCGCACGACTGACACCCGGGGAAAATCAACATCACAGTCGAACGTTCAAAACATGCTCCGGTGCAGGCGACTGAAATGTGAAATCACTCTTACAAGACACGCTTGTGAACTATTGGCAGAATTCTTGCGCCGGTTAAAAAGAAGTGAAATATCCCATATTTTGCTTTGATTTTAAGATATAAGATTCCATTCTCAAAATTATCAAGCGAAATGGACGAAGAACGCACAATAATTATGTTGTTGATTAAGACTACCATGCATGTCACGGTTTACAAAGTCAACTCATTTCACTGCACAAATGTCATGAATGAATGCCCAAAGAGACTACTACAGGGTGTCTCAAAAAAACGAAAACTATTGAAATCACTTATTGTTAAAATTTGAATGCCGTGTTCACGAATTTTAGCCCGTGGGGACTTAATGCAACTTATTAATGATTAAATTTAAGTTAGCCTTGTTATTTCTTCGAAAGAAAATGTTTATTCACAAGTGTGTAAATAATATACACTTGTGATGGGTCCCAACAGAGTGCCTAGTCATTCAAACTCTAACAATTACATTGTTATTAGTGATTTCGATGGCTTTCGTATTTTTTTTGAGACACCCTGTATATCTGAATTGTAATTTAGCATGAACTAAACTATAGCTCTAAAATATTGCGCCTTTTCCCAAATAAAATCGTTCAGTTCTAAATCACCGATAAGGAAGCAAGTATGGGTTACAAAAAACTTAAGATAGGGAAATAAGTCCAATATTCAGAAGATTCAGTCTGAAAAGGCCAACAAAATCGGCCCATATAGCAGCAATCGACATTGCTAATGCCGTTCAAAAGCAACAAAACGTCTTGACCCGTAGCGGGTACGTACATATAAAATCGCTTGCTTTTTAATAAATACCTGTAAAGAATTTACATCAACAGCGCTAACGGTAGACGTCTTGTTAGTTGCACGTTCGCTTCTTGTAAACTCTTGTAGACTTTTTTACAGCTTGGATCTGAGGGCAAAAGATCTTGCCCCGACAAGGAAATGTTAAAATACGGTTTTCCACAATCTGCATGCAACCAACCACGCCTCCCTTACAGTTTCATGTCATTCAATTCTCCGACTCTGATTGGTCACTGTGGGAAGGAGTGCATGCATGCCATTGAGTAATTTGCATTCTTTACAAAAATTCCAAAAGAATGAATTCGAGACTCGTTTCTGTATGTTAAGCAATAAACAAGATTATGCATAATTATGAGCACGCTATATTTCACATGCGCCAGAAAGTCGTAATTCATAAGTCGTTATTTATCATCGGACGAAGTCACTGTATAGCACTTTATATTCAAATCATTGACTCGATTTTAGATACGGAGAGAGTGAAATAAGATAAGATTACCAAAGTGTCAAATTTAAGACTTGACAAACCGTTGTTTTAATTAAATATAGGCAGCGTCGCATAAAAACAATCTCTGCATAAAAACATAACTCTCTCAAGCTCGAGTGTTCGACCTAAATCATCGCATCCGGCGTACCAGTTTTTAAACCGAGTCCTTCACACCAAAAATCATAGCTTACCACCAATAGCCAGTGACCCTCGTATGTAATATTTCCATTGTAAGAAATATTTGTCTAATTTTGGAAAAATAAGGGTGTCACCCCCAATGCGTACAGTAAAATTAAAATATGACTTGGCAATGATGTTAAAAACTCAGATTAAAACCAGGACAAATTTAAATACAGATTTGCCATATTAATGGACTCACGGGCATTGACTTTAGAGTGATCGAGGATCTGAGATATTGTGTAAAATATTTGTAGCCTACCAACTCATCTCGCTTTTTTACGTATAGAAATAACTTGAAGTTTTCAAATGTTGATGCACAGAAAGAAAACCAGCAAGTTGTTTCTAAGAATTTTGCTAGATCTCCAAGCCCTGCACTTAACATGCAGCACGCACAACACTATTTCGATGTTGCTATACACAGTGCCAGCAGGGAACAGAACACTCTGGCGAATGGGATGTTACTGGATCAATTAACGGGAATCAAGGTTGCTATTAGTGCGATGGAAAACATTGCAATCAAAGAGGAAAGTTTGTTGTTGCTGATGAATGTTATAGAAAGTAAGAAATTACGAAGTGTTTAAATAATATAAGGCGGTCATTTTATAGGCCACTTGTGCATCACAGCCAAGATTAATGTTCAAATGAATCTAATGAGTTATGAGTTATCACTGCATTTTTACTAGTGCATGTATGCAATGGCTTAAAATAATTCAACCCTAACCCTAGATCACGACTCATAGAATTTTGACTCAAAAAACAGCCGGGCAACCTCATCACAGTAAGCCACGTTTTGGCAGTGAGACTTGGTTTATTTGTATCTATCAAAAACTCTAATTATTTTCTAACCGGAACTTGCCAACGACCAATCCAATGCAACGGTAACCGATTCAAAACAGTCAACAAACAGCATCACTCAAAGACAATTTCTAGTTGCTGACCGCAAACTATGCAAATTAGTAAGAGGGTAGAACTGCCATATTTACCTTGTCTGAGATTTCTGAGCAAGTACCCTCTGATATATTTTCAGACAAGTTAAAAAGAAAACGTGGATTAGATAAAAATAGAGCATCACAGAAGCTTAACAGCCCTAATGATGTTGGTGTAATGACACAAGCAAAACAGACTAAAAAAAAGGAAGAGCGACTGAAATTGTAAGTTTGCAGATATTTCAGCCCAAGTTGTTGCTTAATTTTGATAATAAATTATATAATATATAGGTGGAAAAGTTTATTCCTCTCAGTCTATTCCACTTTTCGAAGATTTAATTTAAAAAAAAATCATGAATTTGTATAGTATTTAATTCAATTATTATATGGAGCTTTAACAACAATAATTGTTCAAAATATCTTTAAATTTTTATTCGTTTCTCACATGCAGTGATTCCTGGTCAAAAATGTATTCCAATGTTTTTTCACCAAACGATAATCAGCAAACAGTCTTGAATGACTTGGCGAGAATTCCACATCCAGCACTGGATGTAGACAACATACAACGAGGTCAGCCTGATATCACTCATACTATTGACAGTGCCACTGAAGAATACAACACCCTGGGTGATGAGATGTTGTTTGGGAAATTAGGAGGTTTTGATGGAGCTTTTGATGCGATAGAAAATGCTACAGGTGGAGTTGAAGTAGAAGACAGTTTTTCATTTTTAATGCGTAATGGGAGGGCGGGGAGTAAGGATATAGGAAATTTTCTTAACGATTTGCCGTGGGATTTAATATAATTGGGTAGGCTTTGGTAACTATTCAACTAAGGATCATTTTAATGTAAATCCGAGTGTTTAGGGCGTTTTTATGACAGTAATGTGGAAATTCGCAGACGACACTGCGGTATCTTAAGTAATTAAAAAGTCCGACTATAGCTTTCTTCAATCGGACATTGATCATATTTCTACTTGGTCAAGAAATAATCTCTTCCAACTTAACCCAATTAAATGCAAAGAAATGATGATATCCTTTGCACAACCACCACCTGTTTATGAACCAATTCGTATAAACGATCAAAATGTGGAAAGGGTAACGACTGTTAAATCGCTTGGAGTTCTTTTAAGAAATGATCTTAAGTGGAAGGATCATGTTAATTCAATAACTTCGAAAGCTGCTAAGCGTTTATATTTATTGAGGCAACTCAAACGTGCTGATGTGGCTTCGGGTGACTTAGTCAAATTTTATTGTAGCTGCATTAGGTCTGTTCTTGAATATGCATGCCAATTATTTAATAGTTCCTTGCCACAATATCTTGTAAAAGACATTGAACGTATACAAAAGAGAGCATTAAGGACAATATATCCTGACTTGTCTTATAATGATGCTCTTTTCAAAGCTGGTATCTCCACCCTGGAAAAAAGACGTGAATATTTGTCCGAAAAACTCTTCAATGATATTGTATCAAATGCTGACCACAAGCTTGCAAAACGTCTACCATCGAAAGCAGGCAATAGAAAATTACGGAAAGAAAGAACTTTCCAAGTCCCACCTGCAAGTACGAACCGCTTTGGGAACTCTTTTATAAATTATTATGCCAAAAAACACTATAAGGAAACTTAAACATTTTATCTTTTTAAATAGTTTAAATAGTATACAGTAGTCCCCCGCTAACTCGAACTCGCTTAACTCGAACTCCTCACTAACTCGAACTAAATCCAATTCCCCTTGGATTTGGTAATATTCTTTATAGTAATTTACTCCGCTTAACTCGAACTCGCTTAACTCGAACTCCTCGCTAATTCGAACAAATTTTGTTTTCCCTTGGTCAAATATATCCGGTTAACTCGAACTTTGTTTTGGTTTCGCAGATCGTCAAACCTGAAAATGTGAGAACATAGCATTTCTGTCGAAACAACAACAAACTTGCATTTCTATCGAAACAACAACAACGTAATCAGTGTATAATTGTATATAGATGCTTATAAATTTTAAACGTTTTTTGTGTAGTGCCACGGTGGTTATTGATCTAGCCTTTTTCGTTCCTTTTGTATTTTTTCGATTTTTTTAATTTTAAAACGTCGTCCACTCTCGGTGACAATTCATATTGGTAGGCATGATATCCCTTGATGATTCGATTGATTTTTATACCTTACTTTTATAATAAACGTAATCTGACACCAACTCCGGCTAACTCGAACCCTCGCTAACTCGAACAATTTTTCTTTCCCCTTGGGAGTTCGAGTTAGCGAGGGTCTACTGTACTACTACTACTACCACTACTACCACTACTACCACTACTACCACTACTACTACACCACTACTACCACTACTACTACACTACTACTACTACTACTACTACTACTACTACTACTACTACTACTACTACTACTACTACTACTACTACTACTACTACTACTACTACTACTACTACTACTACTACTACTACTACTACTACTACTACTACTACTACTACTACTACTACTACTACTACTACTACTACTACTACTACTACTACTACTACTACTACTACTAGAGTACTACTACAAGTTGCAAAAAAGCTGCGGATAGATGAGTACCACCTGTGAGGAAGTTTTACTTTGAACGCATGAGGTTTGCGAGGAAGGTTCAAAGTTGAAATTCATCACATGCTTTTGCCAAAAAAACAATATTGCATACATTATGCTGGTTGCATGATTCATGTGTGACGCAACGTCACTCATTTTGAGGAAATTCCCAATATATAAATATCAGAATCAAAATAGTTACGCACACTCTTACTTATTGATTGTGATTTCGAAATTCTGTTGTTATTGATCTACGGGAAGTGTTCATGTAAAGCACTGGAAATCAAGCTCTTATTCGAGTTGAAATACCGTCATGGAATTGTTACGGCGTGATTATGTTTAAGACGGGATATTTTCGCGTAATATATGCTCAAAACCTCAGTTATATCTTCATGCAACAGCACTAAAATTTTCAGCATTAAAAATTATTTGCAAACCTGAAAAGCATCCACAAGGTAGGTTTACTCGGGATGCGCCGAGAAGAAAATAACACTTGAATCGAAGCTATACATTTGTAATCATCTCAGTTATAATGGCGTTAATGACATTTATAACATTGTTGATAGCCGCATTATATTTTGAAATATGTAACTCTTTGTCGTTTTGCAATGATCAAACAAAGTTCAAAATTTAGTTCACAACATAATCTAAAGAATAAAGGTAAAATAAATTAATTTTGAGCGGTACGCCGAAAAGATTTTAGGTTTTGAGCGTTTTCCCGCCAAAATACGTGACATAAAAAAAATCTCCTCTTAATGGGTTTGAGTTTGAATGAAATTTTAGCCCTACAGGTAATAAACAGAATTTAGGTAAACAAAACGTACCATACTGAGACTGGCTTAACTAGTATACAGAAATTATCAAACGGACTGACACGATAAAAATGTAGTGAAGGTATTGTGGAATATACCGGAATGATTATGGTATATAATTGTTTGACTTTGATAAGGTCGAATATACCGGCGTGGAATCACTTTGCTAAGCTCGAATATTGTGAAATATGGTACCTTCGAATGTTAGTAAGATGAAATATACCGAAAAAAGATATATTCGACTTTGGTAAGGTCGAATATTCCAAAACTTGTATGATATGTTCGACTTTGGTTAGCTGAAATATACCGAGATAATATGATATAGCTCGACTTTGTCTTTGGTAAGATCGAATATTCCGGAATATGGCCGATCTTGGTCGAATATACCGTATTATGGCATATTCGATCTCGGTAACGTCGAACATACGGGATTTTTGTAGTCTTTGCATTCTCTGCATGTATTGTCACATAGTTTCATGTTGCTTTATATCATTAACCTTCCAATGCCTTTACACTTTTTTTGCTTTTTAAATTTTACGTAAATGCATATCTTTTATATTTAGTTCACAGTCCATCAGACTCTAAACTAATGAATCATTAGCTATTACATTCCACCTTGGTAAGGTCGAATATACCAGTACGGAAAACGGTATATTCGACTTTGGAATGTACCGGAATATAGTACCCTCGATCTTAACAAGGTCGATTATATCTGAATAATAATATATTCGATCGTGGTAAGTCTGTATATTTTCAAGATGATTCGAGATTAAAAATATAATTTCGAAAAAGTTTTAAAATGCTGTCGTGAATCAAAATTTTAATTTATCCAATCGCCCGTTTGCAATGTTCGCTAGTTACCAGTTTAAACTCCTCTTGAACTCACGCATGCGCATATATAACTTACAAAAACGCCCAACGTCCATGACATAATAATTATGGAGATTTAGCATGAGGACGTGAACGTCAAAGACGACGTGAAAATGGCGAGTAAATGGCGTAGCGTGTCCATATTTAGGCGCATCACGTCATTTACTCGCCATTTTCACATTGTCTTTGACGTTCACGTCCTCAGGCTAAATCTGCCTAATAGCGGACAAATTCAATTTAGCATTTGCATTTCCGGGCGTAATTAAGATCCCATTGTTGACCAGGTGAAAGGAAAATCTTCTCGCAGTCGCATACGTTGTACTTTTCACAGGAGTTTTCGCGCCCAAATAAAATGAACTCAACGGTTGGACACGTATTTGTCGAATCTTGTTACATCCTTGACGTAAAAATGAATGTGGTTATCAAAATTCCTGACAAAAGGAGCGTACTCCTATACGTATTTGTACTTTTGATGAATCTCTGTTTGATATTTACCACCGTATTTCTTAACGGTATCACGGTTGCAACTATTTGGAAGTCTCCTAAATTGAGAGAAATAAAATCCAACTTTCTCATCATGATTCAATCCATGGTGGATCTTGCAAACGGGATTTTCTTTATGACATTGTCCGCTGTTTTTTTAGGGTGTGAACTTTCAGGGAAGACATCTTGTGCGATAGCTTTTCTCACAAAGACAGTCGGGTCTCTCATGTTTTTCTATTCAATGGCGGCGATGGCGATGATGAATTTTGAAAGGTATTTCGGTGTTCTGTATCCCTTTTTCCACGAAGCCAAAGTGACCAAAAGAAGACTTCTAAAATGCTTTCTAGCCATTTCAAGTTTGGAAACTCTTTTATATCTTGGTGGCAATATTCTCTCAGGAGACAAGATGAATAAATTAATTTACTCGGCAAACTTGATTTCTTTTCTTGTGTTGACTGCATTTGTTCATTCAAGAATTTTCTGCGAAGTTATTAAGAAAAAACAATTGCCTGTCCCTAGTTGCGAGACGAAAAACATGGGAAAGAAAGTGCGATTTTTGAAGCAGATCAAGATAACCAAATCATGTTTCCTTGTTGTGTTTACGAGCTACATTTGTTGCCTGCCAGGAATCATATTGTTTGGTGGTATATTAAACACGGAAGTAAATTTTTTTGTAATAACATTTATGAGATTTTCATCGCTTTTACTTATGTTGAACTCAACTTTGAACTCTCTCATATTTTTTTGGTGTCACACAGTTTTACGAAGAGAAGGACTAACGTTGATTAGAAATTTAGTCAAAAGACAATCTTAGATAACATGAGATATATAGCAAGTTTGTGACCAAAAGAGCCAAAAGAGACGGGAGCTACTCATGCATGAGCGCGCGCATTATTGAATGGGCATTTCTGTAGCACGATGATTAATGAGCTAGGATATTCAATAATTAGGATATTGAAAGAAATGGATAGGTTGTAAAAAAGTTTCCTCGATTCATTCAATAAAAATAAAATAAAAATATTCAAAAGTTGATTTTCAAATGGCCTTGTTTATGACTTGAAAAAATACTATAGTTTATTTTTTAAAACAATGAATTTTATACTCCAAAGACCAAACGTCCTTTTAAGTCTCTCTATTGTCTTCTACATTCGACCGAGCTGCAGCGTGAATGCAGCTAACGCTTGCTTTTAAACCCTAGGTTTGGTTTAACAAGTGACCATGGTTGGCAATCGGTAAAAAAATCGAAAAAAAATTTTGTAAGAGCAATTCAAGGGACAAAATCCTCTCATCAATCGCACGTTTTCGCAGGGAAATGATATTGTTGTTGCTTCTCATTTATTTGATTCAAATATTCTGTTTTTGATTGTTTTTGG